TTGTTCCAAAAAAAAAAAAAAAAAAAAAAAAAAATTCCATCTCATCCACATTGTCTCTCTAAACAATAAAATAAATTCCTTAATGAAACTCTTCGCCTCGCTGTTACTGTTTATTCTTTCTTCTCTCCTCTTTGGTAACTCAAAATTATATATAGTTGTCATTGCAACTGATTCTTTAAAAACCATATGACTAATTTTTTCTTATATACCACTCTTTTTGGCAGGAGATGTCGCTGTAGCTGAGAGTTCAAATCAGAATCATCCGTTTTCAGGTCGAAATAAATTGTTTGTGTTCGGAGATTCTTACGTCGACACTGGAAACACAAGGACTACTGATGGTGGGGCATGGGATTACCCTTACGGTATCACTTACCCGGGTAAACCCTCTGGCAGGTTCTCGGACGGCCACATCTCCACCGATTTTCTAGGTTCCTCAATTTAAGCTTTCTTCTTTTGATGAAAAAAATTAATGACAGTTGAAGACTCTAGTTTAGTGAGGAAATCCACTTCAGCGTCGTATGAAAAACTTGTGAAAGGAAAACACATACTTCCTCTGTTTCAAATTATATGTCTTTGGAGGTTTCCCATATAACAAAATTTCTATCATAGCCTTTTACTGTCTTCCATGAATATTTATTTTTAATGAGTTAGGTATATGTTAAATTTGTTTGAGAACACGATGTCTTTTTTTCTTTTTAAAATTCATTAATCATCGTTATTCCGTATTTGTAATGACATGCATGTTTCCTCCATATATACAGCCCAATTGCTAAGGATAAAGTTACCTGTGACCTACAAAAAGAAAGATGACGTGGATAAGACACGGTTACAATACGGAATGAGTTTTGCGTACGGAGGAACAGGAGTGTTCGAGACTTATGCTGATTATCCTAACATGACCGCTCAGATCGATCTCTTCGAGCAACTGCTCGGCAATGTCTACTCTCCATCCGACCTTTCTTCCTCCGTCGCTCTCGTTAGTGTTGCTGGCTACGACTACCTTAATTTCCTTGCCAAGAATCATTCCCTTCCCGAACTATTAGTAAGGTTAACTCGAACAAAATGTTGTTTAGTAAGATTAACAGTATTAAATACAACTATTATTCTATATGGTTCTTGTTCGATTTAGTACTAATCTTACTATTCGATTTAGTTATTAACCTTACTATTCTTTATTCTCGACAATAACACGATGAGATAATGGTTTCTCACATAACCATTAACAATAACGATTTTTGACATGTCTCCAATTTTGTAGCATCATCGTTAAAATGAGTATATATTTAAAAATGTTTTGAAAAAAATATAAGTTTTTGAAAACCATCACCGTCAAAAGTGATATGTTTAAAATATTTATTATCAACGAGGATATGATAGTTTATAAAAAAATCTTTTGTAATTTTTTTAGAAATATTTTCTAATTTTCACAAAAAAAAATTCTTGAATTTTCTAATTTTGAGAATTTTCGGAATTTGTAATTATTTTTTTAACTTTATGTATTTTAATTTAATTTATTTAGTTTTTCAATTTTTATTTAATTTTCAGAATTTTATTCAATCTTCAGAATTTTATTTCATTTTCATATTTTATTTAGTTTTTTAAATTTTTTAGTTTTTGGAATTTATATTTAATCTCTGAATTTTTATTTATTTTCTGAATTTTATTTATTTTATTAATTAAACAATTATTTTTGAAGAAAAAATTCGCAACCTTGTTAAATCAATGTTTTACTTGTTGAACATTTAAGTTAAGTTGAAGATTTCTTATGATACAAATGTCTTTTTGTGGATTTAAAGTTCCCAGTGTTACTTTTACGATTTTTTATGCGATTTTTCCAATTTTTTTTAATAACTGAATGGCTTTGAAACAAAAAAAAGGTTAAATATGCAGTCGACATATCAATTTTGTACTGGTATAGTATGTGGATTAAATTGAAAACTGGTCTTCGTCCTTAGCTAACAGCTTAACCAGTACACCATGATCAGTCTGGGTTGGGTGGTATAGTTATTTAAGTTTTAACTCTATTGAATTTCTCAGGGGTTCAAATCATACATCGAGGATGTTGTGAATCAAACCGAGGTGAATTTGAGGCGAATCTACACCTTGGGAGTAAAGAAGATAGCAATACCATCATTGACACCGCTCGGGTACATCCCCGTGTTTGCAAACTTCCCCGAAATTATCAAAGACGTTGTCAACAACATTCTGGTAGCAGACCATAACAGCTTGTTGCAAAAGGTAGTGGCCAAACTCAACAGTGAGACCAATCATTCAGCTTTTACCATCATAGATTACTACAATACCTTCTTGACTGTCTTCAACAACAAAGGAGAAATCCCAGGTAACAAAAGTTAACAAAAACAATTATTTTTGTTAGTCAAGGAATATGGGTCATGTCATAGTCTCCTAAAGTTGAACATTTTTAACTCCTCTCCGCCGGGACTTCTCGTACTCCCCCACATTTTTACATTTTCATCTTTAATATATATATATATATATATAACCATAATATTAAGGCTTTGTACTATGGACATGCAGGGATTCTGCCGTTTAAAACCCCGTTCATAGCATGTTTTGAAATCGACTTGAATGAGTTCAAGAATTCTACCTTATGTGAAGATCCTAGGTCTGCTTTCTTCTGGGATCCAATTCACCCTACCCAAGAAGGATGGAAATCGATTTACAAGGTTTTAAGACATAATATCACCGCAGCTTTGACTAAAGCATAAAACCACTTATCGGGATCGAATATAATAAAACGTATTTTGAAATGTATTGTGTGGTATCTCTCTGTCTCTTGTGTGAACGAATAAAGAGCTTTGGCTAATAAAATATTTAAAGCTTCTTTACTGGTCTTATAATTCTGAATGAGATCATAAATCTTGTTGAATGTTCAATTAAAGCGAATTATCCAGCCATTTTACCCAAACAAAATATTGAACAAATATTATAAATAATATATTTTGACTTTTGTTGGGGTTAAAATCCTTTCTGTCGAGATCAATGGCTAAAACTGTAAAAGTCGGATAAAATGGATCGTTAAAAGAACTTAGTCAAAAATGTCAAGATGATAAACCACACATGTGCTAAACTTACTGACAATTAAAAAATATTGTGCGAAACATCAGTATACCTTCCTTTTTTTTTTTTAAACAATATCAGTATACCTAAATTGTGAACAAATTCGAATTAAAACTTTGAAGAAAATAAAGAGAGAGAACACATAATGAGACATATATCCGTCTAACGTTTGTATAAATTATGTTAATGAATAATTTTACAATTGCTTATAATATTTGTAACAGTTTTAAAACTCGACTTTTTAGGTAAAGTAATTTCCCTATAAATGTTGTGGTTATCATAGATAAAGTAATTTTTTTAATCCTAAAACACTTTCAGAATTAACAAACTAAATCAAAAATTATACAAGACAATGACGAGGAAATCATTTCGTATAACTTTGCTTTAAAAATCAAATACAAAACGAGCCAACGACTCCCAATAGCCATCATAAGGTTGAGAGCCTTCAACTTTCCATCTCCTTGTCATTACACGAAACAACTTGTGTATATACCTAGACAAAGCAACGATATACAAAACAACCTTCTGTTAACTAAACAAGTCAAGTTATACGAAGAGATCTCTATATAACAAAATAAAACAAGTATCTGCTCAAAAAAAAAAAAATAAAAAAAATAAAACAAGTTATATGTAACAATCTTCGTATACAGTATACCATAATTAACCAGTAAAATATGCATATAATGTAAATGTACTGAACGTATTTATGAAATATAGTGTATTTAAAATTATCTGTTATTTTTAAAATGGAGTATTTATTAGGCTTGGTCAGTATTCCTTAGTTTTATTATTTAGATTGGTTCATATATATATTCTAAAGTTGCGAAGCAAAGTTATGTCAACTTACCTTACTAATTGTCAAAACAATAAAAATAAGAAACATTGGGGAAGAAGCATAATGTTTCAAACTTGCAAAATAACTAAAACACAAAATTGCAGCGAATAGTTCAAAAAAGTAAATTGAAAGAGAGATCATACAAACTGAAAAGAACTAAAACTTGTTTAAGCCTTGGCAGCGGCACGACCGTAGAACTTAAGCTTCTCCTGGGTAGTCTGGAACTTGCCATGTCCCATCTTTGAGGAAGTATCGATAAACTTGAGGTTGATCTGCTCCATGGCAAGACGGGAAGTCTGAGTGAGCAGTGACTGTCTAAGAGTCACAACCCTCTTCTTAGGACCCATGCAGCATCCCTTAATCATCAAGTAGTCATCCTTGACCACACCATAGTGTGCAAATCCTCCCATTGGAGTCACATCCTTCTCCGTCCTATATCACAACAACAACAAAGTCATCAGTTACATAAACCTAAACAGGAGAAGAGAGAATCAGTACAGAATCTACAGACCTGTCGTATTCAGTCATGGCAGTGTGAGTCTCCTGACCAACCTTACCCAACCTGTAAATCTTCTTGTTCAATTCAGTACGGTGATGGTAACCGTTCTGACCAGCTCTAGCAACAGTGTAGGAGACTCTAGCTGGATGCCAGGCACCAATACAAGCAACCTTACGTAGACCTCTGTGAGTCTTCCTTGGAAGCCTAGTCACACCCCAACGAGTAACCACACCTTCGTAACCTTTACCCTTGGTCACACCAATCACATCAATCATCTCATCCTTCTGGAAAACAGCATCGATCGGAATCTGCTTCTCAAAGAAGCTGTAGGCAAAGTCAACCTTCTGAGCAATGGTACCACCATTGATCTGAATCTCCATCATGTGAGCCTTCTTCTGCTTCAAACCCTTCATCTTCCTGATCTGAGTGTGGGCAAGAACACGGATAACAGTTCCGTATTTCTTCATCTTCTCAAGCTGAGACTGGATGCTCTTCTTTCCTTCCTCGCTCTCATACTGCTTGGCGTAACCGGTGAAAGCCTTCTTCTTGGACTTGGCCCAGTTCTTGTAGAACCTTCTCCTGACCTCCTCACTCAAGTGCTGTGCCCAGACAGTGTTCAAAGAACGAAGGCCACGTGGGGTCTTGACGTAGGCAACAACACCAACGACAACCATAGCAGGTGTCTCGATGATGGTGACAGCCTCACAGGTCTCCTTCTTGTGAAGCTCTATAATAAACACAAGGCAAGAAAATTACCATTAGTATAAATAAATATGGAAAATGAAGAATAATAATAATAAAATGAATGAGAGACGATACTTACTGGATCCGGGCTTCTCGACATCTCTAACAATGTGGGTCATACCAGCCTTGTATCCCATGAAGGCTGTGAACTTGCAAGGCTTGGTTTGGTCATCCTTTGGGAAGGCCTTCACTGTTAATTCAAAATACAACATTTGGTTTACTCGTTAAAAAAAAAAGAACTCCAAAAGTAACTCTAGAAAACAGAGTAACTCTTCCACTCACAAGATATCCAAATAATCACAAAGGGCTTGGACAGCATACAAATGTTAAAAAAATTGATGAACTCTTAATCGTAACACTAATAAGCCAGATTTTTTTTTAATTTTCTCAATAGACACGTAGAGTTGCAATGATAACAATACAATCTTAACTCAAAAAAAAAAGACATCTTAAGCTCAGTATTATAGACACCCAAGTATGCATTTAAATTAATGATGATCTAAATACATTTGGTTACACAAACGCAAATCTAAGAAACTAAAGAAAACTGAAACTGAATCTCTACAGAACATATGATATGTTTTGTCTCAAAGAAAGCAATTGAATAAAAAAGAAGATTTACCTTTGCCTCTGTGACGGTTAGCTCTCTTCCTTGGAAGGAAACCAAGAGAACCGTGTCTTGGGTGCTCAAACTTCCTGTGAGACATTCTCCTCTTCCTCCTGTTTCGTTTAAAAATACACCACAAAATTAGAGATCAAACGACAAAACAGTAGATTATATCTGAATTCATATCGTAAGTGACGAAAAATATGAAGGAAGTGAGAGAACGTGAAAGACATAGAATGAAGGACGAACCTGAAGCTGCGAAGAGTCTTGCGGCTGACGCTCACTGCGAACGAGAAATGAAGTGAAGAAGCCCTAGTATACTATTTATATGTCTGATCTCTAAACCCTAAATGTGTTGGACATTTAAAAATATGAAAGAAGTTTTACTTATTGGGCCTTGAAAGCCCAACTTCAGAAACTAAGACAAATCACTGCTCTTCTGTTTATGAACCCATCTTTATCGCGCTGGCTCCAAACTCTGTTATAATCTAATGGCCGTTTATGCTCTTGTTTTTATTTTTTTTTCTTTAGTTTTACTTTCATGGATTCTGACGAATTTATTCAAACCATGTGTTCAAAATGGATGATAAAGGAATGAATCATATTAAATTTATTTTGTTCTTTAAAACTTACACCATTTAAACTGTCATTAATTTTTTATGTTAATCAATCATAAAACAGAAATATGTCTTATCAAATTTTTGAGAAGAAACAATGACAAATAAATAGTTACCACTGACACTAATTTAGGGGTGGTTATGTGAAGGAGATTATGTGAATTACTATATCATACTATTCACAATCATTTTTCGGGTGTATTTACGATATAATAATTCACATAATCTCCTTACTTAGACTCATAATAAGCTCCTCATAAAATCTTAGTTGAAATTAAACATTTTGATAACAATGGCGGGAGGTACACTGCTAACTCTAACCCATGTAGGATATAAGTCACTACTTCTAATGAGAAACCAAAAAAAAAGCAGAGAGAGACAATAACAACGACAACAACAATATGAAAGCATTGCTAACTAAGTAGTAGTAGCCTAGTGATAATCTCTTGGGGCTTGGTGTATATCCACATCAGTTATGGATTTAATTTCTTATGGAAGCTAAATTATCATTAATTGGTTAGTCTGGGCTTGGGTCGTGGTTTATATATTGTAGACCGTAACAAATGATTGGTCCACTTCTTGATATTAATCAAAAGGTATTCTAAACTCGAGTCAAATAGTGTGGTACGCTTTCAGACTAATCCACTTTGTAGCACCAAGTGTGTTTTTCTCGGGACTGATCGGATCAGCCGATAGGATTTATTAAAAAAAAAACATTGTCCAAAGCGGTCCAACCAGTTTCATCAATCGAAAGAGAGATGACTAAGAGGCCAAGAGGTAGACCAGGTGGAACCAAGAACAAACCCAAAGAGCCAGGAACACACCCAACCACCAATCATTGTGACTCACGACAGTCCAAGTTCCCACAGAGCTCATGCCGTTCAGATTAGCTCTGGTAATGACATCTGTGAGACTTATCAGATTTCATTAGAAGGAAACAAAGAGGTCTCTGTATACTAAGATCACATGCATTGCTATTTTATTGGTGAACTCATGAAAAATGGAGTAAATGATTTTGAGATTCCACTTGCCTACCCTGTGGCTGTAATCCATCTCCTAAAACACTTACACAGTTGGCAATAATTCAGTTCACTATACCCACAAAAAGAAATCCAAAACCAATTCACAGTGAGTTACAAATGCTTCCAGAGGACAAGACTAAACATATGAGTGGATAAAAGAGAAGAATATATTCCTTGAGTGTTCCGTAAAACAATAACATGTGACTACTGAAGATAATTTCTATGGACTTGGGTAAATATATAAATAACACAAAACATTTTTTATAAGAAAGGGACTTAGGTCGAAGCGTAGACTAAACTCCCAAGGATCCTTTATGTGAGGATTTGATCTTTGCGTTATTCGACCACCACCCTTTGGTTTTAAACAACAAAAACAATACAACTTAACACAGAACAAATTGTACCAGAAAACTATGTTTACTATCACCTCTTACTAAGCTTTTGTGTAGCCAAGTTCAACATCTTTCGACTCTGTAGTTTCTACACCTTCCTTTAAAAGTTGAAACTCTTCTTCAGTTAAGCTGTTTTTCACACTGTTCAAAGGCTTTGCTGCAAGATTAGACCGTTTCTCCAATTCCATTGCCCAGCTATAGATCACCATCCCAACGATCGCAACAAACATGCCGGACACGTTTTTGAAAGTCATTGCAGAATCAAACAGGAGCCATCCCAATGTCAAGATACACACAGTTTTCATGTGACCTATAACCTGGAACGATACTGCTGAAAATCGCCCGATGCAAAGGTACTGGCTTATGTTGCAGAACACAGCTAAGGCACATGAGAGTAGGATGAATATCTGCAAAATGGTAGAATAATTAGACAAAAAGAATACGCCTCTGATCATTAGAATCAGAGGCATTCTATTCTTCCATATAGATCAAACACGGCCAAACGGAAATTCTCTCGGAGAAACGTCTCGTCTGATCAGGACTTGGTCTAGTGACAAAAAAATATAATAGAAACCAGAGACAGAAGCTTACAAAGCAACCAGAAGACATATTGTAGTTCAATATGAACTTCCCACTGAGGAGATAATCAACAAAAGGACCAACAACAAGAAGCGAAACAGCTTGAATCGGCGCTGTTTTACTCAACAACTCGAAAGATCCAATTGAATATTTCTTCTGCAAGGAACCTATTAACTGTAACAACAAAGACAAAATAGATCAGATTCCCGAACTTTGCAAAAGCTAATGTTTCATTCGGCTTTGCACAGGACCGGCCCAAATTAAGAAGAAGTGAGAAAGAAAAGTACAATCTGCTGCAAAGACGAGGAGAAGATGGCGACACACGCGCAAATAAAACCTTTGGCGTTAACTTTGACATCAGTGACAGTGCAAATACCAACACCAACAACAACAACCACAACCGACACTTTCACTTCTCTGGAGTATCTTTTACTGTGGAGGATCCATTCCATGACACAGACGACAGGGATCATGCTCAGCTTCGAGATCTGGTAAAACCCTACGGAGTTGAGCATGAGGCTGAAATTCATAGCGGCTATAGATACGTTAGCTACGATGGAGAACCAAATCAGCTCCCAAATAGGGACGTGTTTGGACGCGGAGAGTCCCGTTGCGTTCGAGACGAACCCGACGAATGCGGTTAGAGCGAAGTGGAAGCCGGTGAGAGTCGTTGCTGTGAGGAATTAAGATATATTATCAGATCTCAAAAGAATAAGAGAGGAATGAGAGAGAGAAGGGAGACGAACCGAAGCTAAAGGAGAAACCAGAAGAAGACATGAGCTGTTTATTAGCCATGATGATACCAACGGAGCTGATCACATTCATTGCCCAAGCTCCCATGTCGGAGACAGCTGAAGAAGACTTTCGGTCGTTGTTGTTGTTCTCAGCAGCCATGTCTCTCTAGTCAAACTGATTCAGATCCAGATGAGGAGTGATCTGAGGGAGGTGAAATCAAATGCAGGTTTTGGGATCCTCTCCGAGAAAGATGGTTAAAGCGGCTTTGATTCACGCTTTATAGGACACTCAACTTCTTTCTCTCCCTCTTTTTTTTTTGTTTGTGTTTTTTTTTTTTTGAAACACTTGTTCTCTGCCTCTTTCTACGATTCTTCACGTTCGATACTTCCGAGTGAAAATAAAACTCTTTAAAAGAAAATTCTCAAGTAGATTAATACCGACGCCTTTAAGTGGGTCAACATTACAATACGTAACTATATAAAGGAAAAATCATTTATAATGAAAAAATAATATGTAATTATGTTAAGTTACTTCGCAAATGTTGTAGTAGCTAGTTTTCGGATTAAAGAATTGCCTAGATAACACTAAAAATTATTTTTAACATAAATATAACACACAAAATTCAAAATGACCAAATGTTTCATTAAAAATATAAAATATAAAATATAAATTAATCTTAATTTAAAAGGGGTTTTGAGTAGGGTTTAGGATTTTAAAAAAATACTTTAAATAATAATTATTAAAGTAGTTTCCAAAATAATTCTCGGATTTCAAAATAGATTTTAAACAAAAAAGAATTGGATTTTTTTAAAAAAAATATGTTTTTGGAATTGAGAAAAATTGTTTTCAAAAATTATTATTTATTATAATTTATTAAATATTTGTTCTTATTTATATATCTATAAATTAACGGTAGAAAGATTTTTTAACTCTTTAATAAAATATTTTTGTTCATTTTCTTCCTTATGTGATCTTTTGGTTAAAAAAAAAAATTCTAGAGATTTGTCATTTCAGTTATTTTTTAAAACTGTTATATTACTCAAACTATAGGTAATCTACATATATAAAACAAAATATAACAACCAACAAAAAAATAGATGATTATGAAACATTCTACTAACATTATTGGCTAAAGAAAATGCAATTGTATTTCCCACTCGAGGACGATATCCATTATCCAAAATGAGAAATCTTGAAAACTTTGTTTTAGAGTCGCTAGTTTCATTTGGTCTGTTGAAAATGACAAAATAGAAATGAAAGAAATATGACACAAACTGTAGTGCTTGTTGACCGGAAACTTATTAGGCAGGCGCTCACAAGTGAAGGAGACCACATTTCCTTGCTACCGTTAATTTGTCATTACGCAAAGTAGAAGTCAAACATTTTGTTTAAGCAGCCAATAGGCAATAAGTCATTACTCTTGATTTGTCTTCTCTCAAAGAGGAGAACAGGTGACGATATCACACAACTAACATAACACACAACTAGTTTTGATCGAGTTAAAATATCCTTAGCTAAGCAACTTGAGATTACATAGAAGCTACTCCCTATGAAGATATTATATTAAGTAGGATTTTATATTTCAAAGAAGACAGTATGGACTCTTATTTAGATATAACAGAAAATTTTGAGATTTGAAGGAGTAAGACTTATATTATTGTTGTTAATGGACTTCGTCCCTCAACAATCCCAACATGTAAATGAACTCAGCCAAAATAAAGAGAGAAACAGTCGCTAAATCAGTTTAAGAAAAAAGGAAAAAAGTCCCAACGAGAAGAAACATTCAAATAGAGAAGAACTCGCAAAGAAAAGAAACATTGACAAACTCACCAAAATCAGCCAAGAGAACTATGATTTATAGAAAATTTAATTGTATTAGGCGATTTCATTATCTTTTTTTTTCTTATAATCGATCATTGATTTTCCAATAAACATTTGTCGAATAACTAATCATCAAATTTATTCTTTCATCTCGAACATGTAGAATTCAGATTTTTTTTTATTTTTGCGAACCGAATATCCAGATCTCACCGAAGTGGTCCAGACTAGAGACCAAAGCGAGCAAGGACACTGCCAGGACATCATTATGTGGTTCACTTATAACGGTTTTCGATCTCGGATGTTGCACCCCATATATAAATTCTGCAGTAGCCAAAGCTCGAACCCATGGACGGATACTCCAGCTGGAGCTCTTTTACTACTATACCAAAACAACTTGGTTAAATTCAGAATTCAGATTCGATAGGGTCGCTGGACCTACGTCTCCCTTTGTAAACGGGAAGACAACAGGACATGGTTATTAAGAAAATTGATACATCCATTTTAATTACATTGCTAAGCTACAGTCTAATTCTTTTGTTCCATGCATATTAAGTACCGAGATCTTTCTTCCACAAGAAGTTGATAGTGCGAAATTTCGTTTACGCAAACCAACGAATAATTCGATTCATATACATCTCTTCAGCGCAAGAAAAAGTAAAAGTCCAGAGTCACCAACAGAATACTAATATATAAAAAGAATAATGAGAGGATGCCAACAACAAAAATGTCCATTGGCTTCAGACTCCAATCATAAATAAATACTCAAGAACAAAAGAAAAATGAATTGAACTTCGTCCATGTTTTTGTCGAAGTAAAGAATAATGAAAAATGATATAAAAGCTACGTTAATTTTGTAATATTATTGTCAACTTCAAAGGGATGGGTTATGATGATGCGTGGTTTTTTAGTAGATTGATCAAATTGATGAAGACATCAATGTCACAAGCAATCCTCAAAGCTCCTTCGTACGAGTGTCCGAATTCTTCTTCTGACAATCTCAATAGATCCTCAAACATTGGATGGTTTAACAAGTTAGCCTCAACCTCGAGCTTGCACTGACTCTCTTTATCCTTGCCAACATAAACCCGAACTCTTCCTTCTTCTGGTAATGCCGATGTTCTTGAGGACGCAAATTTCTTGGATCCGCAACATAGTAGCTTCTTCGCCATGCCTCTCATTCTCTTCTGATGAAAATGATATAAATTAAAATTCAGATTTTGGTTTTGGTTTTTCCTCTCTATAAGATGATGATAGTATGTGTGTTGTGGTTTGTAAGATAATATAATGGATGTATTTATATGTAAATACAAAATATATATTTGTATTGACAAGTGTTGTTCGGTTTACGTAGTGAACAAGAATAAGAAGAAGGGGAGAATGGTCGAACGTTTTAACGGAGAAGCTGCGGAGAAAAGAAACGGATGTCGCACCGCTTTTAATAGACTAAACCGGACCATTGGTTTTGTATTGGTATAGAACTGTTTCCACAATTTTAAACCAAAGCAGTATATGAAAATAAAAATGATAAGAATTACGACTTCTTCACTCAATTTATAGTCAAATCACGAAATTCCAAGAACAAAAATATTAATTTCTGAACTCGTTCAATTGTGAATTTTGGGTTCAATGATTCGAACCAGACTAATTGATCTCTGCTGGTCCGACCGGAGTCGAGAATAAAATGAAGAATCCAGCGGTTTGGCAGGTACGAATGGAGGTGACACGACGTGCTCCTTTTTAATCATATTATCATTTTTAATACTGTCTCGGGAATGGGTTCATAGTTATACTATTATACTTTATTGATATGCCAACTTGTTCGTACAAAATTTAAAAATGTATTGTAATATCAACCCAACTGGATTATTTATGTATTATATTTGATTTATTGTTATATTTTTATATAAATTGTATCTTAATGATTGCACAATGATGTACCATGAGTTTGTTTAGTTTGCAAGTGAATTCTATTGAATCATATCTTATGATTACAATGGCTCTAAGTTTACAATGATGTAACTGCAGTTTGTTGAGAAAAAAATGTTGTAATCTAAATATCTTATGAAATAAAGATTTGTTTTATTTTTATTTTGCAAACCACAAAGATTTGTTTCTTATGAAAATCCTCACAAATTGACAAAAAAAAAATCTCACAAAAACTCAGCAAACTGTTGAGTTTGTATCAAAGGTATGCAACTTTATAGTACTAGGTTACATTATAATTATATATATTATCCTTTTGATTTCATGTAAATATAAGAATTTTAAGTTCGATCCATTTTGGCGACTCAATTAATCACATGATTTTTTTTTTGTTTGGTAAAATTAACCACATGACTTTCTAATATTTTCCAGCATCACAAGTATGGGTCGTACAGTAAAATGAAACAAGCTGGATGAGATGCATCTCCCCTTCTCGTGTCTATAGAATCACGAAAAGTAATGGAAGTGTTTGAGATGCTTGATACGTAGTCAACGTGGAGCCGCGTCCTACGCGGACAATTCTTTTATTGGATGAATCATTAAAGTGTCAGAGCCAGTCACCGCTTTCATGTGGCTTTGACAAAAATATTTCTGCCAGTTTTGAATTTAAAAGTTTTTAGTTCTTCTGCTCTGTTTCACATTTAAAATATTTTTTTTTCTTTTTTACATTTAAAAGATTTCTTTTATTGGATGAATCATATTAATTTATTGTAAGTAACAAAAATTCCAAATACAAAAAGATATGAAATCACAAAATATGAGAAACAACAAGAACATTTGAGACATGCTTTTATATTGTTATGATAGAAAACAAGGATTGATGCTGGAGATAAATATTTTTAAGAGAGATAGGCAAAGTAGTAATATAATGAAAGAATTAGGGAAATACTCATATTTGGATATTTTATTGATAATTTAACCATAATTTGACATAAATGTAAAATTTTACATAAATGTTAATGAGTTGACAAATTTTGTAACACGATACAAAAAATATTAATATTAAAATAATGTCAATTTTTTTTTTGGGTTTATGACGAACTACATTATAATTCATGGATAATCTTACCGTCAAACATGTTACCAAAATATGTTAGCAAGTTAACAAATTTGTAATATGATACAAAATTTGTTAGCATTAAAATAATATCAACTATAAAATAACATAAACTTATTTCAAACTTAGACAATCAAAGTGAAAAAATTATCAGTAGTAGAAGCATATCCATGAGCTTGTACGACTTATATATTCAATTCCTAACTTCTACACACAAATCTAAAAGGACCAAACCCAAGAAGATAAAAGAATAAAGTTTTAAAGAGACAAATAAAAATGTAGAAAAAATTTCAAAGGAAAATAATATAACTTAATTATAATAATTTAGTAAAAAACAATATAACTTAATTTTATTTTCGTAAGTGAGAGGAGAGAAAAAAATTAGGGGAAATTTCTCAAATACCACTTTCATGACAATTTCTTAAAAAATTATATGAAAATGAAAAATAGTTAAGAAGGAAGATGATAGAAAAGTAGAAAAAAGAAAGAAGATGGTCATTAAATTTAGAATGTCACATCGTGAGTCTGTTGAAATTAAGATGTCCATTTGGGGTACTTTTGCCAAATATCGTTAATATAATCAATGTAAAATAGGTCTATCACAAACAAATAAGGATTGACATACCTTATTTGCGTGTTCATTTGTGGAGATAGTGAAATCATAACATGTACCAATAGTTGCAAATATTGAATTCAAAATTGCGAAAAAGAGAAGACAATTCATGTTTTGTTAAGATAAAATAAAATAGGATTATTCATGATACTATATAAACAGGAAGTATTGCAATAAAATAAAATAAAGGATATCAAAGGTAATGTTTTATTGATCAATATATCCCTTATATATTAATTTTGGAACTTTACAACGTATTTTGGTAGATATGTATCATCACTATGTTGATTCTTAGAATCCTTAGAAAAATAAATTGGTCTATCTCAATATATAGTATACTTTTTATTAAACTAACTATGCAATTAACTGGTAGTGTATAAAATAATATTCACTATTATTTCCTCAAATAAAAGTTACAGAATTGCCTAATATGGTTAACAAATATATAACAATTAATGATTTTGAATAATAAAGATTTGATAAAAAATTTCAATCTTCCATCATTTCGTTAATTTTATATTCTTAAAATAAACTAAAAATCATATTAATAATATAATAAAAAAATTTAGATTTTTTCTTATATGCTATATTTTGATTTTTTTTTTAAACCATTATAAATTACTAAATTGTTAAAAATCAACATTGAAATTTTTGTGATCAATGATTTTTGTGATCAATGATTTAACATTTTGTTATAACAACATACAAATGATCATAAAATCATATAAATATGAAATCTCTTTACTATATATTCAGAGTAAATAAATAAATATATATATATATATATAATACATAAATATGTTAATTCCAAAAATCTGATCTGAGTAGGAAGCATCAGTTAATAAATATTAATATAAATATAAATAATATTTGTTACAATAAATATAAAATGTTAGTTAACTTATATGATTACGAACTTCAATTAATAAATATTCATATTAAAATATATTAGATAATTTTGTTAATATCATTTAAGTTTTATTACATACCATATAAAATTAATAATTAATCATTTTGATTTTTTACCAACAAAACAATATTGTAAATACAAAGAGATGGTTTTTATTATATGTTTACTCCAGTTTAACTATATACGTAATAGTTACTCGCTTCAAAATTATTCAATATACTTTTACTGCATAATATACTATGTATAAATGATTTGTATTCATAATTAAAGTTCATTCTGCACAAGCACGACTCTTAAAATTTATTTATTATTTCAAAAAACAAATTTCATAGCAAAGTGAGATGGTGAATTTTAACTTCCGAATGATATTATTGAAGTCCAATGTAAATAAATTAAAAAAAACAAAAATATCAATAAACATTATCCTACTCATCAACTTTTCATTGATTGTCAAAATTATGATATGATAGTTGAAGGATCAAAATTAGTATTCAATAACTATTAATATATAAATTTTACTCGCACTTATGCGCGAGTTATCACCTAGATGAATGTGATGACAACTTATACTCTTTCTCTCTCTCGTGTAATTACTACATGTAAACCATGAACGTAACCAATTTTTTTATTAAATCCGAAACATCCATAACGGTCTAAAAGAGGCTAAGTTTAAGATCAACAAAGGTCCAACATAAACCAATAATGCCATTAGCAGCATCATGCACGAAAACCATAACATGATAAGAAAGCAAACTGGAAAGGTCCACCGAATTCTGATAGAAACATTTTTTTTTTTTTTTTTTTGCTAAGAAGGTTAATTATCATATAAAATGAAACAAGTCTACAAGAATTGCAAACTTTTACAAAAGATACCCTGGCAAAAAGAAAGTAAAAAACAGAGCATCAATACATAGGAAAAAACAGGGGCTCGTGATGAGGACCCAAACATTACGAACATTGTAATCATATCAGCCAGAGAGACATGAGAGAACTGAACTTCTTCCTGTGTCTCAGCGCATAGATAGTATTGATGATGTGCCTGTTGATTTGTTTAAAAACAACCAAAGGAGGAACCAAAATATTGTTGTGAAGCTTGTTGTTCCTCTGCTGCCAAATGTTATAAGCCAAAGCTTGAACAACCATCATTCTCAATTTTGCTGGTGCTGTAGAGGTGGAAGAAGTAGTCCACTGTAACAGTTCAGTCCAGCTAGTGAAAGAAGGAACATGAACTTGGAGATGCCGTCGCACCTTAGACCATAATACCGAAGCAAACTGGCAGGTAAGCATCAAGTGATCTCGGTTTTCAAGTTGAGTGTTGCAGACACAACACACTGTTTGTACCTGCATTCCCCAAGAAGCGAGACGAGTTCGGGTGGGTAACCGGTTAAGGTTTGCGACCCAAAAATGGAAAGCATGTTTGGACGTGGCACCACTATACCATAAGTGCTTGGCGACATCTTGTATTGTAGCTCGAGGCCTCAGAATATCCCATGTTCTTGAAGACGAGAAAGACCTGTTTTTGACACCATTTGTGGTCCAGTAGTACAGGTCTGGTCCTCTTTCCACTGAAGGCAAAGGTATGGTAGTGAGGAAGAGATGAAGGTTTACTTCTTGGTCTGATCTCGGGTGTGGAAGAGACCATCCTCTCTCGCTGCAAGCATCTGAAACAGAGGCATCTATGCGCACTCTCAGCCTGCGAGTGCCATCATTCCCAAATATTTTTATTAGAGGACCAAGAGGAGACCAGTTGTCGAACCAGAAGCTTGAGTTTTGCCCGCAGTTGACATCACAAGTTAGAAACCGGGACATGACCTCTCTAAGACGCAAGATGCAGCGCCAGTTCCATGATTGGGATTGCGATTCAGCTTGTGACCAGAAATCGTATGCAGATGGGCAGTTGTGAGTTCGATGCCAAGCAACCCAGAGGGAACTACTACCTGAAAAAGAAGCCATCCAAGACGCAAAAGCAGTGTTAGATTCCAAAGTCTGAAATTCCGAAGTCCGATTCCACCCTCCTCCTTTGGGAGGCAGCAATTTTTCCATGAAACCTTAGCATTAGCTCTGCTTTTTGTGGTACCAGACCAAAGAAAACGAGATCAAAGAGATTCAATCCTTCTAATACATCCTTTTGGTAAGATGAAAGTTGAGGTCCAGAAATTAACGGTTCCAGTTATCACTGTTTTTATTAGGAAGCAACGTCCCGCAAAAGATAGTGACTTTGTAGCCCAAGAGTTGAACCTGGTGTTAAGCTTGTCAAGTAAAGGCGAGTACTCCGAGATTTTAAGCTTACGGTGCATCAGAGGAAGGCCTAGGTAACGTATAGGCAGTGAGCCAATCGAGAAGCCATAGGCAGAGAGCGTATTGCTTTCCTCTAGACTCAGTCCAGCATGGAACAGCTGTGTTTTGTCTTTATTCATGTGAAGACCCGACCATCCAGCAAAATCATCTAAAGTCTCAGTTATTCCATGGAGAGATGAGCTACCGCCGTCAAAGAAAACCATGACATCATCTGCGAACATAAGGTGAGAAATACCCAACTCCTCGGTGTTGGGATGATATTGAATGTAGCCCGAGTTGTATCTAGATCGCAGTAGACCCGAAAAAACTTCCATCGCAAGGACGAACAGGTAAGGTGATAAAGGGTCGCCTTGACGCAGGCCTTGCGTGCTTTTGAAATAACCCGAAGTGTGCCCATTGACACAGATGGAAAAAGAAGCTGAGGTAATGCAGGAGGTAATCCACGCAATAAACTTTTCCGGAATGGCAAGACCTCTTAGAGCTGCAAAGACGAAATCCCATCTCAGTGTATCGAATGCCTTTCTCAAGTCAACCTTAAGCATCCCACTAGGCTCAACGTTGTTTGAATTATAGCCATGAACTATCTCAGTGGCGAGAAGGACATTTTCGGTAAGCAATCTTCCTGGGAGAAAAGCTGATTGCGAATGCCCTATTGCCAAGTTCAAGATGTGTTTAAGCCTGTCTGCTAAAAGCTTTGAAATGACCTTGTATGTTGTGTTTAGACAAGATATAGGCCTGAAATCTGTTGTTTTGGAGGCATTAGGAATCTTCGGTATGAGAACCAGATTTGTAGCATTCATTTGTTTGAGGAGACAACCTGAGGAGAAGAATTCAGAGACAGCCGCAGTGACCTCTCCCCCCACTACTGACCAGCAAGTTATAAAGAATTCCGGTGAGTATCCGTCTGGTCCACTTGCTTTGTTGCGGGGTAGAGAAAAGAAAGCGGACTTTATTTCTTCGTTCGTGAATGGAGTAACCAGAAGCTCCTGTTGAGTTTGAGAGCATGAAAAATCCAACAAACCAGTAATGTCATCTTGAATGAATAGCGGTGGATCAACATGCTTCCCAAAGAGTTCAGAGAAGTACTTGACACAATGATTTTGAATTTCCACTTGGGTATCATATCGATTACCGTCTCCATCCTCAAGGAAGTGTATGTGGTTTATAGCTTGTCTTGCGCTGGCCATTCGATGAAAATAGGGAGTATTGTGGTCGCCTACTTGCAGCCAAGTCACACGTGATCTCTGGAAAAAGAAAGACTCCTCTGCTGAAGATAAAGTTAGCCACTTCTTTTGGAGATTTAAATCCACCTCGGCATTGATCACTGAAGGGTCGTTTAGCGTCTGAGCTTGAGCAGTGGCAAGGGCCTCAGCAGCTTTAGACACTCTCTTCTCTATATCCGAATAATTTTCCTTACTGAAGTTTCTGATTGCATTCTTTAGAGACTTAAGTTTTCTGGCCACACGAAACATAGCAGTACCACTGATGCTGCAGGAAAACCAATGGTGAGCAACAAGGGGTAGAAAACCTTCATTCTGGAGAAGATAGTTGAAGAAGCGAAACGGTTTTTTCTGCCTTGGTGCACCAGAATGCAGGGCCAAGCTCATGGATGCATGATCGGAGAAGGACGGGGCACCAAATATAGCTAGAGAAAGAGGGAATTTCAGAAGCCAATCCTCATTTACCAATACTCTATCAAGCTTTTTTGCAATGGGTTCACATGGTCTCTTATTCCACCAAGTGTTTGATGATCCTCTAAAGTTAAGATCCACAAGCTCCGCTTGAACCAGAGCATCAGCAAATAACCGAGTCTGGAAGTCCACATTTGGTCCAGTGGCTACTGAATTTTCTGATGGTCTTAGCACTTGGTTGAAATCGCCTAGCACAGCCCAAGGCTTGCCGGCAGTGCGCTGATCTGATGCTAGATCAGTGAGCTCATTCCATAAAAATCTCCGAACTGCCTCATCTGTTGACGCATACACAAAAGAGACAATAATAGGAAAGGCCAAAGATGGTAGAATGACCTCACATGAGATCATTTGCAGCGACTTATAGAAGACATCCACTTTGACGCTAGGATGCCACATGATCCAGATTTTTCCTATATCCGAGAAAAAGTAGTTATTATCAAAAAACCAACCGGGCAGCACCGCATTCATAAATTTATGCTGCTTTCTTTGCTGTACATGCGTTTCCAAAAGACTTCCAAATAGGTAATTACTACTCCGAATCCATTTTTTAAATCCGCTACGATGCGATGACTTATTAAAACCACCACGCTCCATCCAAAAATGTTTTCTGTACACATAAAAAAGATTTAGTTGTGTTTGGGGCCTTTGCCCCGTCCATTTCTGGACCTACGTCTGGTTCGCACCGGAATGTACTGGCCCTCTTCCAGATCAGTGTCAGAAGAAGGAATGTCAGAGGAGTCCGTTTCCACTTCAGAAGCAGAGACAGAAGAAGAGCCTCTCGCTTTGCTTGATTCCGCTGCAGAAGCGGGAGGAGGCAAAGAAGCCTTGACATGTGGACCAGTGTCCTTACCAAATTCTGATTGTGAAGTAGATTGCTGGATGGATTTTCCTTTGATATCAGAATTTGCAGGAGCCCCTGAATTGGACTGCGGCTGAAGGGTTTTGCTCTGCTCAGAAATCGGGCGATTTGAGTTATCAGTCTTCTTATATTTTTGTCCTTTAGAACGAGGGCATGCTTCAGCCGGATGAGTTGTGGATTTGCATCCCGGGCAAGTGATTGGAGCCACACGACATCGCTTGATTGTATGGCCAATCTCCTTGCAATGAGAGCAGACAGGGGGCATCCAAGGGCTCGATACTGTAACTCTACTAATATCGCCTGAATCGAATTGAACATTTACCGCCTCCGGGAGTGGTTTTCTCGGATCGATAATAGTTAGAACCTTTGCAACCTCCAAGTTAGTTTTATTTGCTGTTGAGGGATGAAGGACTTTGGGGTCTCCTACCAATCCCGCGATACGTTCTAGACCGTCTTCATTGAAGAATTGGAGTGGAACATTTCGCAGCTCAAGCCATATGGGAGCGGATGTGAGAGAAGGTTTTTCTGATAGAAACATATTGTACAAACCTTAACACCAAAACGATCTAGGGTTTACTTAATCCCTCAAAAAGGCATGCACGCAGTCTTTATAAGGCGCAACCCAATCTAAGCATACTCAAATCAAGTCACGGAAGTTTGAGTCGCAAGTACGGAAACTTTTAGTCTTAGAAGTAACCACCACTCAGAACTATTCGAGACTCAATAGCTTATACTTAGCCATTGATCCTGATTAAATGCTTAACATCACATTTGTTAGAATCATATGTAATTCATACATGATGGGACTAATGGTTGGGGTTAAAATTGGTCTTAGAGACATCAACGGCTAAAATTATCGTCTACATAACCAAGCCAAAATGTCGAGAAAATAATTTTCCATACGCCACGCCAACAAATGACAATACATCGGAATAAGCTCTTTAATTACACTTACAACTCTTACACGAAACAGTCGATGGAATTGACGAGAATACATTTGCAACTTTTTTAGACACAATGTAATGCCCACTTTTACTGATTTACTTCCAGGTGACTGCTGAGTAAAACAAAATATGCAAAGTAATAAAGTACAAATATTTGATGCGGTGGCTTTGACATGAGATCTCTCACCTTTTTTCTCCTCCGGCCAATTCTTTTATAAGAAAACCCAATGGGCTTAACCAGCCCTAATTGTCATCCCATTCTTTTTCCTTTTTTTGTACCGAAACTCTCCCTCTCCGCTGCTTCTTTTTTTTTTTTGTTTCTTTCTCGATAAATCTTCTTCTTCTTAAGGACTTCATTATCAATTTCACTCCAATTTTTGGTCGTCACTCTCGTCGCTCCCTTGATCGTTTTTAACTTTCGTTCGCTACGAGGTACCTTCACGTTTCTGATTCTCTCTATATCGCCGTTCGATTGAATATAGCAGCTTGTGGAGATCATGCAAAATTGATCTCGCTTGCTTCTCCTTAACGGATTAGGTCTACGCTCGACTCGATTTTTTGTTCTGTTAGCACAAACTTGGCTGATCGTTTCGATTTTCCTGATTCAATTTGTACTAATTGGCTACGATTTCAAATCAATTTACATTACTATTGGAGAAACTTGTTGATCATATAATTTTTGGTATCTCTTATGCAGAGAAGATTTTCTCCAGGGCCAATGGTTGCACTTGATTCCTATTTCCACAGTACAAGGAAGAATCTCTCTTCATTGGAACCAAATCTTTTTGGTTCGACTTGTATGGGAGTCTACAGTTCCACTCAGGAAGCAGCACAAGATTACTCTTGTGACAGGTGCCATAGCTATAATTGTGTTTAATTTGATGGTCAATTCTTGTAAATAAAACTGTATATTTGTGCTTCTCAGCTGCGATGATTTGGCAACTGTATCTTCGGCTTGTCGTGATTTCGATGATTCAGCATTGGAGATGAGCTGCAGGTCTAATGGAGAAGGCCGTGAGGTTCAAGAGGCTGGTGGTGGTGGTAGTGGCACAGCTTCAGGTCCAGGATATAATACCATGTATGCGAGTGGATGGATGTACGGTAATCAGCAAGGCGAGATGTGTGGACCTTATACGCAACAGCAGCTATTTGATGGCTTATCCACTGGTTTTTTACCTGAGGATCTTCTTGTATACCCAATTATCAACGGTTATATGCAAAACTCTGTACCGTTAAAGTACTTCAAGCAGTTTCCTGAACATGTGGCCACTGGCTTTGCGTATCTACAAATTGGAATGATGAATGTAGTAGTCCCTAGTGCTAGTAATAAGGACACTTTCCATCAACATGAGACTCAATCAGAGCCTCAGGCATTGCCTCCGCAGCCTAGTTCTAGTGGTTCTCTCTTGGATCAGCAAATGTTAAACCAGGAGGAAGTGAATTTGTGGGCTTCATTCATCTCATTGGTAACTAACTTTAACGGTGATAACTCATTTTAAAAGTTTATCAGACATGATGCTCGAGTACACATGAGAAACTTCTTAAATTGTGTTTGCTAGGGAAGCGAACATGCTGGCTGGTTTGTTGTGGATGCTGAGGGTAGAAATCATGGACCGCATTCTTTGTTGGAGCTTTATAATTGGCTGCAGAGCGGATATGTTTCAGATGCAGCCATGGTAAGCTGTAAAGCATAGAGACTTTATGAATTTGTGGAAGATTGTAGTTATTTGAAGAATATGCAATTACAGTTAAGTTGATCGTGATACCTCTTTGAAGCCCTGTGGCTGCCTAGTTTTGCTTATTTGTGTATCTGTGTGTTTTTTGTCTTGTTTCATCTCTCTCTCTGTGAAGTTCCCTACCCCTTTACTGTTTTGCATTTACTTCGCAGCTCCTTACTATCTTAGAATACGTGGGGATATGTTTTCTCCCCTTTTTCTCACGCTTGCTTAAATTTTTTGTTTTGCAGATACGGGATGTTGAAAATAAGTTAAGACCTATCACATTAGCGTCGTTAATTGGTGTATGGAGGGATAAATGTAGTGGTGAAAATTGTGAGGAGTCAGTGTCTGGGGTGAGTTTAATATCTGAAGTATCTGAAGAACTCTCTTCCCAGCTTCAGAGTGGAATAATTAAAATAGCCAGAAGAGCTCTACTCGATGAAATCATCAGTAGCGCAATATCAGACTTTTTTAAGGCGAAGAAAAGAGACGAGCATCTCAAGTCTGATCCACCCAGTTCTGCTGCCAATGTTGTTAAATGCATATCGGTAATTCAGTTTGTTTTTGCGCATTCATATGATTATGCACACCTTTTATGGACATACATGCAAATATAAAACTTCTGGGGCCATCATTGAATCGTACTCTAATTTTGTATCGCTTTGTGTGAGCAGTCTCAAGTTGTCAGTGCGGAGAAAACTGCTGTCTCAACCACTGAAGCAACAGGCTATGAGAACATAAATAAGGAGAGGGATCATAGTCGAATAGCTTCAGAGGCGCTCAAATACACTAAATCTGTTGGAAGCGCCGAGAACTTTCAGACATCTTGCTCAGCTGTATGTGGAACCCTTCACAACAGTTGCATGCAAATTATGTGGAATGCTGTCTTTTATGATACTGTGGCAACATATGCATCATCTTGGCGGAAGAACAAACTTTGGTTTCGTTCTCCTGATATCCCAACTGTTTCGAGCTACTGCAAGGGTTCCCGTACCAACTACTCAGGGAAATCAGAAGCAGCTGAGAGTGTCAGTTTATTTCTCTCTTCTACAACTTCTACTAAACCAGTGTCGCTTCCTCTTATTAGTTTTGCTCATTGATGTGATGGAGTGTCATTTTTAATGTTTTGCAGTTTACTTGTAGGGTGGATTCCTCTTCCTGCAAAACTGCTAACTCTAATGAATTTGACTTAGCTACCAAAGCAGCAAGTTTTCATGAACCGTCATCTAGGAAATTAACCTTACCAGGCATTGATGGAACAGAAAGCGTTGTAGCAAGCATCTCGGAACACGTAGAAAGGGAGCTCTTTTTGTCTCTGGAAACTCACCTGACTGATTATATTGGCGTTCTCATTAAAGATGGTGCGAACAATGCTGCTCGTGCTGTCCAAGATGGCAAAATGCCTGAGGTAAGTATAAACATTTTCGAAAATTTCCAAGAAAATTACCTCCTTTCTAGTTCGGTTCTTTATTGTGACATGCTAGCGTGCGGATGCTGAATTTATATTGTTGCAAACTGCTGCAGGAAAACTCGTCATCTTTTCATGGTTCCCATTATAGTCTGGAAAAGTCTGGTGAAAAGGGAGAATCCTCTGAGCAAATAACATCTGAGGATATTATTGCTAATATTTTTAGTACAACATTGCAGACATCATCAGACAGTCCTGTCAGTGATGAAGTTGATACTCTGGATATTCATGAGCCACCACCACCTGGATGTGAAAGCGGCATTACAATGCCATCTCTGCGCTGTAACTTTCGGCCTGTAAGGTCCAAAGAATCTGTTCCTGAGATTGAAGAATATGTTGCAACGGCTTTATGTAGACAGAAGTTGCATAATGTTGTTATGAAAGATTGGAAGTCACTGTTCATGAAGTGTTCTCTTAAGGAATTCGTTGCCTCACAGAAAGGAAGCCATCAAGTTTCTCGCAAAAAAACGATGGCCCCGAAGAAACTCAAAGCGATTACTCAGAACAAAAAGCCAGTAAAGTCTAATATATCAAGTCATACAGCAGAGGAGCCAAAGAAACCATCTGTTAGATCTTCTGAAAAAAGTTTGGTTAAACGATCTAAGAAACCTTTTAAAGATACAGCCAGTATAGATTTGTCACTTAGGAAACCAAGTCAGCCGAAGATAAGGAATGCTGTCCAGCAGGATCAAAGTATGTATTCTCAGCCTTTATCATCCAAATTAGAGAAAATACTTTTACCTCATATACTGTTCTATTCTTATTATGCAGTTATCATTAAGAACGTGACGAAGGTTCGGAAAGAAAAGGTTGGTAAAGATGATAACATCAAGGTGATTTGTGAGAAAAACCAAGATGTTGGAATGGCAGATGAATTTGATGACGAACTTCTTATAACAAGACTAAGAAGTAAGTTTTCTTTTTACCATTCTATATGTGTGATTCTATTTTGATATCAGGGTTTGTGTTTTTTTTTATCCGTTTCATGTTATTTCCGTATATCTATTAGGGATATCAAAGAGTAAAACAAAAGAGTTAGGAGAAGATACAGACGCTGCAAAATCCTGTGAGGGGATTTCATTGTTTGATGAGGAAACCGTTGGCTGCAGAGATCATGAGGAAAATCTTTCAAATAAGTCTTCTCAGAAAGTGCAAAAAGGTAAAAGACTCTTTTATTTGTTTCCTGTACATTTAACCTCCTGCCGTCGGGGATATTGAGCTTCTTACCATGCACCCCGAGTCTACTGATCGCATCCTTCTGAAAAGCAGCTCATGTATCAAAGCTAAAGAGAAAGAATACATCAGAAGTCGAAGGAGCACAATCTTGCAGTGGAGCAGTGAGAGGATTTACTGAGATTTCTGGAAAAGACACTGATACAGAAAGCCTCGGATTTGTAACCAGGGATAAGGTTTCCCCTGAACGCAAGAGACAAAAAAGTAAGATCTCTTTGGGTGTTTTTTCCTCAGGTTTTGGGAATGAAAATCCTGCAATTAATTTACTATTTTACTATCTCCAGAAGATGCTGCTAAAAGAAAAAAGATTGTGGAGAAGTCTGCGTGCGGCGTATCACAGAAGTCTCTTAAGTGTAAGTTTCTAACGTCGTACTTTGTTGTTGTTTGATACTTTAGTTTCTTTATGAGATATCTGGATACTTGAATGGATGGGCCACAGATTTTAACAACGCAATACTTTGTTTCATTAAGCATCGGAATCATCAACTCCAAAGAGAAAGCATTCATTGGATGAAGATGTCCCGAGTGTACCCTCATGTCGGAAATTATCACTTTCTTCCAAGGATTCTGAGAGTGCTGTTGGAAATGAAGGAAAACTTCCCGGCAATAAATCAAATAAAAAAGGCAATGGTTTCTTAATAGTTTTCACCTTTTAAGTTTCATGGTTTAATATTGTTTTCTATTATAATATCATTTACCCTAATCTACATTTATTTGTTGGTTTGTATGGTAGGTTCCAAGAAATTGACGCTTAAAAGGAAGCTATTACCAAAACATTCAGCAGAGCTTTCTCCCATTGAGGATTTGGCAGTGGATAATGACAGAGCTACGTCCATTGCACTAAAACCATTGGTAAAATTGGGACCGAAATCAAGCAAGAAAAAAGTGTTAGTGCCAATGCCAAAGTCTGATGGATGTGCACGCACATCTATTAATGGCTGGCATTGGCGTGAATGGTCATTAAAGGCTAGTCCTAAAGAGAGAGCCAGGGTTAGGGGGAGTTCTTGCGTACACACGCAACATTTTGGTTCCAAAATTAGTTCGTCTCAGAACGTTCTTTCTGCAAGAACTAATAGGGCAAAAATGCGTAATCTTCTAGCTGCTGCCGATGGTGCTGACCTCTTAAAAGTTTCTCAGTTGAAGGTGAATTAAAAAAAAACAGTTTCTTTTTGAGTAACAACTCCGTGGGGTGTTGATATATTTTTCTTTTCTTTTTGTGGCATGACGGTGACAGGCTAGGAAAAAGCGTTTGCGGTTTCAACAAAGCAAGATTCATGATTGGGGTCTTGTCGCACTTGAACCAATTGATGCAGAGGACTTTGTAATCGAATATGTTGGAGAGTTGATACGTTCTTCTGTAAGTATGACTTACTTGATCATGTGTTCCATTGAATTGGTTTATTGTAGGTAGTAGTTCTGTACAGTATCTTAGCTTCTTTGATGAACCTTTTGATGCTCTACTTAAGGACAGACTATTACTTGCGCTCTATTTCAATTTGATCATGATTGTGTTTCAATATGTCTATCTCACAGATATCTGAGATACGTGAACGCCAATATGAAAAGATGGGAATAGGAAGCAGTTATCTTTTCAGGCTTGACGATGGCTATGTGGTTAGTCACCTGTGCTATACATTATTCTTAACAATTTTTAATGTCGCTTCTGAAGAATTACTTGTTGCTTACTGTGAATCTTAGATTGATGCCACAAAGCGAGGGGGCATAGCGAGGTTTATAAACCATTCATGTGAGGTAATTGTATACATAGTTTTGTATGATTGGGTAATTTGTTTTGTGAGTTTTCGGGTCTCTTATAGAAGACATTTTGGTTTACGCAGCCTAATTGTTACACCAAGATTATAAGCGTGGACGGTAAGAAGAAGATATTTATTTATGCGAAACGGCATATTGACGCTGGTGAAGAAATAAGTTACAACTACAAATTCCCGCTTGAGGACAACAAAATCCCTTGTAACTGTAAAGCGCCAAAGTAAGTTGCATCAGTCTTCATATCAATCATCCACAGTGTGTGATGCTTTGTTTATTTTCTTGATGATATTTATTGCTGATGAGTTGGGCCTGAGTTTAAGTATGTTCTGCTTTGGCGAGCAGGTGCCGTGGATCGCTGAACTAGGAGGGATGAGAAACTGAATCAGGTGTTTACTATGAACGGTAAGCTCAATTTAAACATATTTTGTAGATTAGAAATTAGCGAGGAAATAAATTGGAATCGGTTTACTGATGAGCTAAACTTTACCTTTTTAGAATGTTGTTTGGGTTCAAGTGAAGAAGATGGACGAATCTACCTTTTGCAGTATACATCTCCAGTAGCAGATGAGTCTTCCTCTCTTTGAACCCAAACTGTAACTATTTTATCCCACATACTAACAATTACAAATAACTGATTTTTTCTGTTTTTTTTTTTTATACTTTTCTAGTTTTCTTTTGTTGTTGTTGTCATCAACAACGAAAAATATTCAATGCCAAGTCAATAATAAATCTATTTTATTATAATAAAACTTAATTCCTTATGAATTTAAAGGAACGAAATTGATCTTTATTGTGTTTCGTGCAACAAAACAAAAGGCTATTATCGTTAAGCATTTTTAAATGTCAATTGTAACAAAAAAAATGCCAACTTATAGAAATTAGATCTTTGTTGGATTGGTTTCATTTGAGCAGAAAGAAAAGAGATTATCAGTGTCAAGGCTCAATGAAAGCTAAGAGGTTGTTTCTAAGCGCTTAAAGCATTTTATTGGTATTTTTTTGGGATTGTGTTAATATAGCATGTATAGTTTCTATTTCATATTTTAATGTTTTGCTTTCGTTTGCAGGAATTGTAAGATAAAATAAAGACTAGCAATCTGATAATTCTATTTCCACAACCCAATTGTGCTTGATATGGTATGTATAAGGTTATGTATGTATCCTTCCATTTTCTTAATTTCTTGCTAATGCAACTTATTGGATACTGACATTTGGTGATTTTATTTTTAACTAAACCGAGAAAAACAAAATTGCTTCATCAGACGCGAAATGCACAGGCCAACTTTTGCTCTATCTAGTTAAACGACAAATGTTGGAGTAGTGTTCCCTTTCTTTCCCCTGACTGTTTGGGGTTTGCCAAATAACAATTTGTTCATCGACTTCGTTTCTTGCCGTTGGGGTACCAAATTTTCTCTATCTGTAGTTTGTAAACAATGTATTATATGAACTAAATTACTTGTATCATTAATAATACATAAAATAGAGATGGTGCCAGTTAATGTGTGAGAATTGCATTTGCCTTTTATCATACGTAGAAGATTATTAATTACATAAAAATTGCACGAGTACTTTTGACGTGTTTGAACTTTGAAGTAGTTTTAAAGGAGCGATGCGTGTGTTGATTGTGGGTGCTGCATGCATGTATTGAATAGTCTTTGGCAATTCATCTTAGTCTTATGCTTAACAATAGTTTTGTAACTTTATGTAGGAACAACAAGTCTCTTGTTCGAACATGTGGTTGTCTTGATTTGGTGATTACATTTCTTGTCAGTTTACCAAATACCATCCGAATAATTTTGAGAATCTTCGCATTTTCAGTATTCTATAATATGTAAGAAGACTCACTATTAGTGTTCTTTTTTTTTTGTAAAAAAAAACAATTATTTACCAGTTTCCTCTTTCCAATATATTATTGATCTTAAAAGAATTTATTGAACTGTTTATGTTCACATTGACATAGAGTTAACTGTACTTCAGACTCAAACTACAAAAGCAGAATTTTGCACACAATTTTGGTTAGAAGAGTTTTGATGACAAAAAAAAAACTGTTTTTCATTTACATAATGTGTATTTATGTATCACTAGCTATCACTTTCTGGCTACCAAACGGCCATCAGCAGAGCAAAAGCGTCACGGTAGTAGTGGTATGAGATTTTCAATGTAAAGCTTTGGGAGACTCGTCTACACATATCATGACGTAGCAAAGGATTGTACAAACGAGAATCATATATTGTGAAATGTAAACAAATTAAAATTAACAATTAGTAACTTTGCTAACGTAAGAAAATCAAACATATTCATAAATGAACTTCAAATATAGTTTTCAAAACATAAATCAATATTGACCAAATATTAAGAGTACATATACCAAACTAAGCATTTAGTTAATCATTCCTATATAATAGACAATTATCTTAGGTATTCGATAATGTATTAATATATTTTAGATACTCAGGGATTGAAATCAGACATTGTACGATTTCTTTTTGAGATTTTAAGCTTATTGATTTTTTCAGATATTCATTTGGTTTTGAATAAAATTCATAACCTAAAATACCATCAAATAAAATCTATTCGGTATTTATGTCTGGTTTAAATTGGTTCAAATTCATCTTTGTAGATCATTTCAGATTTTGATTATTTGACCAGCTTTAACAAGAACGAACCTTCCCTATGTTTTGATCATCTTCAAGTGACGTCAAACCCTTTTTTTTGATCAACTACAACTATTGGGTTATCTTTTTTTTACTCACTTTTCTTGGTTTCAAAATGTACCCCAAATAGATCAACCCTTAGGCAGTTAGGCCACCAAATTGTTATCCTACTAGTCATGATCACCTCCAATGTTTTCACTGATGAGTGATCCATAGAAATAACATTTATAGCTGCATAAATTTTGCACCGTACTAGTAACGATCCAGTAAAAAAAAGGTTAACTAACTTGGTACTGTTTTGTTCTTCTACAAATACGAAGTAAAACCAAGAAGAGATGAATACTATAGATACTGAGGTTAAGATGATCACAAAGACGTATACAGAACCTCTTGTATCACAGCTCTAAGGATAACCTCTGATGAAGCTTCTTCCGAGCCTTATGATGTTTCTGTAGTATCGTATCTATGGCACATTACATTACAAGCCAAACCTGTGGATCAGGTTGTTGGTCTTGTGGTCATAGACGAGCCTCGTCCCACAGGAAGAACTCCTGAGAAAGAATCTTCTGGTTCTTCCTCCTCAGAAAGAGCTGCACATCATAGATTTGAGTTTTCAATCCACAAATGATCGCAAACTGTTTTGCTTAAAGAGATGGCATACTTACCGGTAACGTCTTCGCCAGCTTGAGCTCCAGCAATTCCGATGCAGGAGTACAAAGAGTCCTCGTCCACTTTCAATTGATTATAAGCAACGTATATGTCCTCAATTGAAGCAGCTTCGTATAAGGAAGTAAGTTCTTTAATGCATGACAGTTCCTAATAGTCACAACAACACCCATCAGAACACGTCAAGTCAAAAACTTACACATCACAAAAACTTTGTAAGAGAATGCAAGTCAATCTCACCTTCCTCGGAACAGAGGACGCCTGAAGGTGAGCTAATAGATTAAGCCAATAGGCGTTGGACTTGAGTTCAGCTTCATGTCTCATAAGAAGAGTTCGCTTTGCCTGTTGATTGACAAACAACACTAGTTTCAATCAACAAAGAAAACAAAATTAACAAGATCTGAGCTGAGAAGGCAGAAGAGACAACTAACCCGATCCAACTCCCTAGGAGCAATTTGATTGCTATGCAAACCTCGAAGAACACTCTTGCAGGCATCAACTGCTTTGTATACCTGAAAAGGGCATTGAGAAACTTTTGTAAAGGAAAGTGTTGACAAAGGTGCAGCACATTTAACGGTAAGCGAAAGAAAAAGACTGGGCACCTTGCCGGGAGTGGATGTCACAGATATCACATACCACCCAAGATTCAACCTATCAAATAGGTTTAGCTCAAATGATACATCATATGTCAGTCCAAGAGAGTCTCTTACTGTCGTGAATAGCCTGTAATGACGTAAATTACTCTTTTGTCAGCAATGGTTGAAGATAAGATTTATCTAAAGTAATAGGTACATAGAAGCAGAGAAAGCCTAGGTTTGAAGTACATAAAAAAATCAGATGTATAACCATGCATTCTCTTAACCATCATTTTTTGACACATGACAAAAGCGTTCATCTCCTAGACACTAATTAATTCTGGTGGTTTTTGTTTCTAAGCAAATAATGGACATGGCCCAAATAAGGAACTACAATAACAGCATAGAAACTCAGCTTTCGAATAATATGGCACCGTTCAACAATAAGTGTTACCTTGAGTTTATAATTTCTGCCAGCAGACCCATTGAAATTCCAAAGAAAAGAGGGTGGGCACGAAGCTTTCTTTGCAACTCATTGTTGCTTCCATCTAGCAACTGGTCCTCTGATTTCAAAAGTCCATCTGCAATTTCATTTTGTTTAAATGAAATACTGGAAGCTACTTATCTCAGAGCTAGCCGCTAAAATGATACATTTCTGGTGCAGAGACGAGAGGAGAACTAGACCTATACACAAAACTGCTACACTATACGACAACAAGATTTATATGTGTAACTTACCATGAGCAACAGATTGCTTACTAACAGACTGAAAAAGGTCATCCCCGTCAACTGTAAAGCCCCATCGATTTGGCGCTGGTCCCGCAATGTATGCGCATGCTCTCTCATCAGTATCTTTCAAGAATACCTGTCCAGGTTGAATATGTGTCAATACATCCTGCTTGGATCATATATCTAAGGATATGGGAAGACCAAAGAGAAGAACTAGGACTACTGCTTTGTTCCTCACCTGTTGAAATTGCAAGCCAGCTGTTGGTTGGCGAAACACAATAGGCTCAGATCCTAGTGGTTTTGCAGAATCATGGCTAGCTTTAACTGTACCAAGGTAATCCAGGACGCAACGCTCAATTTCCTCCTCTGAGAAATCCCCCACAATGCTTACCTGAAATGAACCAAATAATTTTTAATGAAATCCAAATAAATGAATATTACTTGAGCAAATATAAGCGTTCACGTTTTTGAGATATTACCTCCATATTTTCCCCAACAAAATGACTCATGACCGCGTCTTTCACAGATTCTAGATTCAAGTTCTGTAACGACTTAGGTGTCGGCTCAATAAAGCGCTCATCACCATTCAGCATTGCGGTCATGAGTTTATGAGCAGTCGCACGCTCCAAGCTTTTAGGAATTGATCTATAATACGAAAGATATAGCTGCCGTGCTCGATCAAATGCATCTTCTAACCAGACACTATGCTGCAATGCCAGAGAGTCACTACCCTTTAGCATCAAAGTTTAAAAGAAAAAAAAAAAAGAACAAGCGGCAAAACATATGCTACACAGCATTTTACAGCTTATTAGTTATAGCCTACTACCTCAAGCACCATGTGAAGCAGCTGAAAAGCTGCTTGCATTCCATTGTCTCTCAGAGTGAATCGGAACTCCATGGCAATGAATTCCTCAGTTGACTCCAACGAGCAGTTTATTAAATGATTGACACAGAAGAGCTCCACCTAAACGGAAACCACATGGCTTTCAGATCAGTTCATATCCTCTTTAAGTACTAAAAAGAAATCACAAATGCAGGTGTCGTCAGCTTCACTTGCCTGCTCCCTTGAAAAATCTCCAACTCGACCACCCTCGCTCAGTGTACGAACACCAACAACCACAGCTCCTTTAGAATCTGACGTTTCAGCAGCTCGGCCACCACCAACAATAAGCCGCATGACACCAGCCCGAGATTCTGTCTTAGATATCTGTATTGAAAAAGGAAAATTTCAAGCGGATGGTCTATATTTCTATTTACAAGTTGTAGTATCAATCAACAACACCACAGTTTGTAACATTTCTATATAGTTACTTTACTTGCCAAGAAACATGGAATTTTCTGCTAAAATAGAACATATTTTTACAAGAAAGTTTAAAACTGCAATTTGTATGCTGAGACCATTAGAAAAATACAAAACTGAAGAAAACAGCTTATAATGTCGAAAGAAAACCATGTCACCGAGGAGTTGCTTAGAATAGTATGCAATGAAAAAAAGGTAAAATGTACCTTGAAATTTACAGGTATCCCATTGGATAGGCGTAGCTGAGTGATGCCAGTCTCTTTGTCATGCAATTTTGTTACGTCTGACCCAGGAATAGGGACAAAACATGGGTTTCGCTGCAAGGTTAACTCTTGTAATTGTGATTGAGAGATCAATTCTTTTGGCACCTCTAACTGCAAAGATGAAAGGAAAAACCTGATTCAGAACTAGCCTTTGTTCTATCCTTGAATTATGTAAAGTTTAAATCAAAAAAGTTACAAACGAAAGATTACCTCAGGCTCAGCTTCAATGGGTGTTAGTAATCCTGATTTGACAGAATCCAATATTTCGCTGGGAGTTATATTGAAATCACTCTCACCAACCCCATCACCATGCACCTTTGTGGGAACACAAGCAACTATTGCTGCAGGAAGAGGTGCAGTGGGCTTTCCGAAATCAGAAATAAATTCTAAAACCTTGGCGCCAACAGTGTTTACCTGGATAAGAAAATCAAAACAGAAGAAAAAACTAATTCAAATATCATAAAATAAAATTAATAGGATGATATGGAGGAAGTGTAGAAAATCCACTAGTTAATGATGAGCATTTTGTTAATGAACTCCAGGAACTCGAAATAAACATTCACCTTTCGTGTCGCATTCTACAAGAAAAGCAAATAAGAACAAGAGGAACTGTGAAGCCTACCTCTTCAAGCGTAACAGTCCCAGCAACAGCAACCAAGGTCTCATGTCCTTGCGTCTGATCCATAACCGTGTGACCTAGTGCATCGCTTTCCATTATAAAGTCCAGGTTATCAACGGACGACACATTATCAATCATGGCTGCAAGATGCTCGCTATCTTTTAAAAGAGCATCCATGTAACGTGTAAGTTCACCCTTGGTAACGCCAAATTCTTTGAGTCTTCGAACCTAGGAAGTAGAATCACATGTTAAACATAGCCGAACGAGTTCTCATGAGCAAATAAAATGTGACAAGTAGAGTCGAACAACTCTTTAGCTTAGGAATTTTAACCAATATATTTGACACCAAGTCCAAATGATCGGTTCAACCAAACAGAAAACAACAGTATTCACTATGGAGAAAAGTGAGAGCAAAGAATAAGCAAACCTCTGTGACAGCAACTTTTACAGCATTTTGCCAATTTTTGGGCTCTGCTGTGACAGTAAGAGTCGTAACAGTGCAACCTTCCCTTCCTGAATCACTATGGTCCAGTTCGACTGAGGTAAATGGCGGATTTGAACTCTGTAAAGTACACAAATTTCATCACCAAATGTACGGACAGTACTAAGTCTACTAACAATGCATGTGATCACTGAAAATTTCCGTAAATAATGTAGTTACGTCCATGAACTGATACAGATTGCTTACTGCTGAGATTGCAAATTAAGATAACGGAAAATAATTTATAGATATTCTGACACAACCCATTAGATGACCACTTTAAAAAACTTCTAGTGAAATTTGAAGGGCTACCCATTTACTTTACAAAAAGCTAAGCTGAATGCACAGTACAAACGTTTTTAAGCAAGGCAGCATCCTAAATATCATAAGCCATACCTTGTATCTCGTGTTAATTCGAAAATGTAGAGCAGAGAGAAATATTCTTTTCATCAGAACATTTCGCAGGTCCCCAAATGTCTGGACCTTGCTTACAGGTATCTGCAGGCAGACCAAAGGAATTATAACAATTCATAGAACTACCACCGTAACGTGGGCTGTCAGATTCAAAAGATTATAAACAAAACCTTGCAGAACATGTTGATTGCAAAATTTTGAAGAAGCTCATGCTTAAATATCTGCGGAGGCTTAAGATCCACACTGGTTCCAGGAAGCGACCAATTATGCTCCACCGGAGGACGAATTGCATGTCTTTCTCTTTTAATGATCTTGGATTGATCAGCAGTATTTGTTCTCTCTTGGGAAAAGGTTCCACCAAGACCAGCTGGCAGCTTCGGGACAAGAAAATTAGCCATGGCACCAAAGGCACCAGGCGAAGACGAAGTGGGTGCTGCCTCATTATCCAAACCAGTTTTTCCAAACACGGCCTGTGCAAGACGCGATGGTCCAGTCAAGATAGGGTAAGATAGACTACGCAGCATAAATCAATATTTATCTATTGAAGAGAAAAGGGCATGCAAAAGAAATGTATAGACAATATCATACTTCAATATTGTGGACAATCCGAGGTATGTTATCAATGTCTCCCACAATATATAGTGTGGCATTCGCTGGGAAGTACCATCGCTCGTGGAATTTCCTGATCTTGTCAACATCCCACTTCTTAATCTGCTCTTCCAGTCCAATAGGGAACCTTTTACCCAACTTGTTTTCAGAATGTAGATGTTGCAACAACTTGTTTCAGAAAACAAAACACAATGTGTCAATGACAACCCACCAGACACTGGGCTAGAAAAAGGAAATTTATGCTGACATATAGAAAACTATTCTTCATGGATACCTGGCAGTCAACACGATACTCAATGGTATTCATCATCTGAAGTTCTGAAAGTATGGCCCGCCTTTCTTTCTCAACTCGAGAAGAGAGGAATTTTGGGTGAAAAGCTATCTGTAATCATTAGAAAAATAAGATTTTGTCCACCGAATGAGTTATACCTATGAAATTTAGAGGGAGTCTAATTTTCAGTACAGAAAAAACTCAGAACATATCCCATGGGAAGACATCATCTTAGATAGCAAAATCAATGATGTATACCTCATTCAAAGCGTCGAGCACCGATGGAAAGAGGTCATCCTCAGAGTCCTGAAAAGTTTCAGCACTTCAATTAAAATGAAACTAGTATTCTCTTTTGTCCAACTATCAGCATCACTGACTAGCAAATAAGAACACGCTGTCCAAATTATCTCAATAACATCTAATGAGGACTCAAACAAAGAAACTGGCTTCAAGGTCAATCAACAAATACAGATCAATGCCAAACCCACTACTTTTACTCGTAAAGATATAATATTTCCTATGCAACTTTTAGATATATATACATATATAGTGAAGTCTTCGGAAGCATGGGGAGAGAAGAAAAGGAGTGATAAGGAGAAAATAAAAAGAGAGAAAGAATGCAATAACTGGTAAAATCAATGTTAGTAATGTAAGCACCATAAATGTTACAGCAAATACAGAGGAAACAAAAACCTGCAAAACTGAACGAACCAAAAGAAGCCAAATCAATAAATATGGCAATCCGTGAACAAGAGAACAAACCTTTGTGTGCGTTGGAGAATGGATATGAAACACTGTATGGTGGAAATCGGTGTAGGCATTAGAGCGAGCACCAGTACCAAGAAGTTTCTCACGCTTCTTGCTCCCAAGAAATGCCACATGTTCTATCATATGAGCAATGCCTTGCTCATCATCTTCCTCATCAACCGATCCTACATGAACTTCCATGTGTGCCTCAAATCTAGCAATTGAGAAAGTTTCACCACATACGTTAAAAAGAAGAGTAAATACCTTAAAGAACCCCACCATATGCTTAACCAATAACAGGAAGTAAGGGAGTACAAATAAACTTCATCTAGCCATTTTATTTGTTGTTTTTATTCATAGAAGATAACTGTACGAAAGAACATGTTAGTTATATCTTATTCTTATGCCTGAAGTAGCCATATTAGTCTACACAATTTTACCTGTTTGGAGGAACTTTGTTAGGCAAAATAAGATACCGAAGCCCATTTTTCAACTGTCCCCGGTGCAACTTAGGATGAGAAGGAAGCTCACAACCAAGAAACGCCTCTAACTCCGCGGCATCAATCTCAGGAGGCAATAGCTCCACATCTTGTCTCTCCTCAACAATACCCTCCGGCCAGGCTGTACCAGTAGCGTGTGGCTCATCTGGTCCAACAGTTGCATTCACAATCTGAGAAGGTTTTCCCTGCAAAAAAAAAACTTGGAGTCAGCTTAAAACACAACAATATTCAAACAAGTTGGAGTCAGTATGCAAATGATGTTAGTTATAGCTTAACTGACCAAAGAAGACGTCCTCCTGGACAAAGCAAATGAAGTTCTGTCCAGAAAAGCTCCTGGTTGTAATAATCTTCTGTTGATCCCTTGTTGTGTCTTTTTACAGGTGAGACAAAAACTAGGCCGCTGAGAAAGTGATGTCTGAGTAATTCTCTGTCCAAGAACAGTGTTCCTCTTCAAACAACGTCCCTTGTTCGTAGTTTGTTTCCCCCTTTTTCACAACAACCATACAATAAAAAAAATTAACAACATCACACTGCTCCAAATTTTAAGGAGAGACTAAAACTCAACAAGCAAGCAAAGATGTCTAATAATTCTAATTAATAGATGTAACAGTGATTTACCAAAGACGGTTGGAAGGGATTAGGGAGTGAGATTCGACGCGAACAGCACGGTGCGGCGCGGGATTAAACCTAACTTTGTTGGTGTTGCGGCTATGTTTTATAAAACCAGAGGAGCGGTCACGGGAGTTAAGAGGAGCTAGGATCGGGGAGAACTTAACGCCGGTGAAAATGGAGGAGGACATCATCGCGTGGGTGACGATGACTCTCTATAGGTGGAGGAGGAGGAACCAAAAGGAGAAGAGGGGAGATGAGGTTTACTACGTTTCTTTTTTTTCTTTCCTGAATTTTTTTGGGCCTGTTTTTTTTGGTTGGTGCCAAAAATTCCTGGCTTTTCCTTTTAGATATTTATTATTTTTTATAACACTGAATAATTTTGTATAATAAACTATAAGAAATATTACATAAATAATATTACAGCCGATAATTTTATTAATCTTATACAGATTTGCGTCTGACTACATCAATCTGAACCACCTTAAGAAATCCAGTTTTTGACGGTACACCTTATGTCGAGATAAAAATCTCTTGTAAGTTTTTTCTCTAATAATCTATATAATTTGCTATTTACTTTTTTCCGGAATTAAAATTTTTTTGATGTTAAAATTGTGTAATTTGGGATTCCAACCTTGTCTAGACTAATGTAGACTAATGTGCTTCCACTTTAGATATTTATTTATCACGCACAAATTTTTGTTTTTTGGTTATTAAGAAAATATTTCTGAATAAATTCTCAATTATATGGCATAGCCCAGCTAAAACCCTAAGCTGTTTAATTATTGGAAAATTGGGCTTTATGAATATGATATGGCAATTGGGCTCTTAAATGTCCCATCTCACGGTCACGTTGTCATTTGAATCTTTGTCCACCCGGGACGCGATCCTCAGACCCTATGAGGCTATGACCAGTCCTGCCCTATAGCTGCGGGTCGGCCCGCGGAACACATATCTTCAAGCATAACCTGTCTGTTTTCTTGTATCAAATTTGATTCTTGATAAAGTTTCTTTTAGTATCTGTGAGACACTCAAAACATTTACTTACTTTTTGTGTCGTTTTGTACCTTTTCTAGATTTTTTTATCATTTGATATCCCAAATACTTTCAGTTAAAAACTATTTAAAAAAAATTCGAAAAAGGTTTGGATGAAGTTGTCATTAGATATCCAAAAAAAAATCAGTTCAAAGACATTTTCTTTTGTTATGGCATAAAGAACATTTTTGGTGTCAAAAACTGTTGAAATCACGTGTTCACGCATCCAGGAACGGACGCAGTTAAAGATGTACGGTGTGGTACGTGCAAGGCCAGTCTAGAACATAGATGAGATAAACGACCATTTAAAACATTATAATTTAAATGATAATTTTAGTTACATGTAAGGTACTATAAAAAATTACATGAATAATAAAAGATATAAAAATTTAAATAAGTTTAGAACATCAAGACAGAAATGAAAACGTTAGACCATCTCCAAAGACATATCTAACTCATTTCTAAGTGAGGTTCCATCTAATTAAATGGGTTTTAATTAAATCAAAAACATAAAAAAATAGATAGAGTTGGATCTTATTGTAGATGTTTCTAGATGCATATCCAAATAAAACATGGCCATCTCTCATTGGTTACTGGTTTAAACAAAAAGAGAAAAAAAAGGGTTCGTGTTCTTTCTTTCGCGGAAAAAAATCATCTTGTCTCTCTCTTGCGATGAATCGATTCAGACGGCGAATCGATCCTTGACTTTGTTTAACTCTCTTTAGTGTTATCTAGGTGTGAAGGAGGGGAACTCAATTGATGGATACTTTCTTCAGGTTACAAACTATTGTTATTATCTAAAAGATGTTGCTTCCTCTGCACTATCAGATGATGATTTCACTCAGGTAGTATCCTAAGAACTCTGCTTGTGCTTCTTATCTATGATAAATCACAGTTAGTCCAGATGTGGCTCTGAAGCTTACATGCGTTTCTTGATATGTTTTACTATGTGCAAAGCCTTTGTTCCTCCCTGTGTCTTGAGAACTAGCATTGGCCCTCTTATTAAACTGTTTTAACTAACGGATTGTCACATCTTAGCAAATTATAGATTTTACTTGAGATATAATGTGTCCTGTTTACTAATTCTCATAGCTTTTTTGTTGACTTTTGGCAGGAGGAATGTGAAGAGTTGCAACAAAGAATAAAGAATGGCTATGTGAAGAGACTTACTGTTGTAAGTTTCTTTATTTTGATGTTTATAGAGCTTTTTCTAGTAAATTGTATAGCTAAACTTGATCACTTTACTGCTTCTGGCTTGTTTCATATCTCTAATTAAAAGTTTACTTTAATCATGGACAGGTAGAGATGGAAGACAAAGTTCGAAGTTTGCATGAAGATGTGACAAAACATGTATGTTACTAAACTTGCTCTCTTTTATTTGATATGATTATCAAGTAGCATACTTTATTCTATTAACTAATCTATACTTCTTGGTGGATGTCTTTTTAGTGGATTGCAAGAGAACTTGTATCGTTACCAAGGAAAATCAACCAGGCTAGTGAAAAGGGATGGAAAAGAGAATATCATTTTTCTGTAAGCATTACTTTATAAACCATTAGCATTGTTTAAAGTGAGACTCTTTTTCTATTGTTTATTGTCTTGACTTCTAAGTACAGTGTCTCAGTATCTGGATAGAAGGGAGCTTCTTAGCAATCCGGAAGAACAGGCGAGGCTATTGCTTGAAGTTCCTGAAGTTATTGCAGAAGAACTCGAACCTGAACGTGTTGATGTTGATGTGAATACCGAAGATGAGTTCATGGAACCAAACCCTGAAGTATCCATTGAGACTCATCACAATGATTCACCTGTTGCTGGTCTAGTGAAATCTCAAGAAATTCCTCAGCTCTGTGATGAAGAAGAAGAACAACCACCATGGGCTGTTTCTGTAGGTGCGTCCCATGTTTTGTAACTTCAGTTAATTGATAAGGCTTTAAATGAGCTTCTCACACCCTTCTCCAAGAACACATCAAACACTAACAATCAAGATGGTATAATCTTGAAGATGTGCATTCACATGAGACCTTGGATTGGATTTCAGTCATGGCGTGCTGCTTGTAGGAAGGTAGTTCTTTAGCACATAGCCACATCCTCGTCTTGCATCCGTTGTGTAACTTTGACACCGTTTAATGATGCTTTTCTCCGAAGACAGGGGGAGATTGTTTAGAAATTTAAAACACTTATTTGGTTCTACCATTGGAAGTGTTAAATCTCTACAAGTACAAGTAACTAAAATTTTCTTTTTTTGATTAATTTTAATTAAAAATATGATTTAGATCTCAAATGAAAGTTCTATTGTTGGAGATGGTCTTAGACCGTCTCTGTACATGTGCCCTCATATCTTTCTTTTTCTTTCATAATTTACAGAATGCCCTCAATTAAATGATTAAGATATAATGGGGGTGTACAAAAAAAAATATATAATGGGGAAAAAACTTGTAGGTTCCCTTGCACACATCGTATGAAATCGTACGTATAGACTAATCAAAAGTCAAGGAGAAGGTTACTTAAACTAGTCGCCAAATGAGTTGATAAAAAGAAAAAACTAGTCGTCGAGTGACATCACAAAACGTGGCAAAAGCTTGTATCAGGAGGGAATTATAATCCTCCTAGTCGTAGTCGTTATGAACTTGACCTTAATTTTGTAGCAGTCATCATTAGCGAGGAAACTTCCCGGCCACCACTGCGCAACCGCCTCTCTTTAAATAATTCTCCCCACTTTTTCCAAACCGTGTTTTAACCGACGAACAATCAAGAATCTCTTCCCCCTCCGTACACGCATTCACATATTTTCTATATATAACATTACTTACCATCTTTGTATATATCACTACATTTGCAAATTTAAATTTATCTTACAAAAAAAACATCTTCCTAGGATTTTCTTTTTCTTTTTGCTTAGAATCTTTGTAGGAATTTCCATCAAGAATCCATTTCAAACCCGCCAAATTCATTTATAAATTTCAAGAAATGACTCTTGCAAATATCAAGAAATCTCCCTTGGCTAGACTACGCAAGAAGTTATCCTCAAGAAAATCAGAATCGTCCGTGGAGGAAGAGCAAGCGAGAAGCAGCACTAGCAGCAGCTCGTTAAACGCAGACGAGCTAAGAACCGTGTTTGACTACATAGACGCAAACTCGGACGGGAAAATCTCCGGGGCCGAGCTGCAGAGCTGCGTCAGCCTCTTGGGCGGCGCGTTGACTTCACGCGAGGCGGAGGAGGTCGTGAAGAGTTCAGACGTTGACGGAGACGGGCTTATGGATTTCCAAGAGTTTTTGAAGCTAATGGAAGGAGAAGACGGTAGTGATGAGGAGAGGAGGAAGGAGCTGAAAGAGGCTTTTGGGATGTATGTGATGGAAGGGGAAGAGTTTATTACGGCGGCGAGTTTAAGGAGGACGCTGAGTCGACTCGGGGAGTCGTGTACGGTTGATGCATGTATGGGGATGATCAGGGGGTTTGATCAGGACGGTGATGGAGTTCTCAGCTTCGACGAGTTTCTTCTGATGATGCGATGAGATTAAAGAATTCCATTTTTTATTAATTTGTATTCAGATTCTATTATTTATTCTTTTGTATCGCGCAGGGTCATGCGGGATTAGTCGGGTGTATATATAATTTTGTTATTGTTCGTTCTGATGCCACCAAACCTTTCCCGCATTGCTCTGCACAGTCTTCATTCGAACCCTCATCTGATCCATATGTAATAAAAAATATTCAATTTAGTCATTTAGATAATTCTTTCTTATGTTTTGGTACTGAATTTGATGCTTGTTATATTTTGCTTTAAATGATTTTCGGTTCTTTCTGTTTGTATGGTTACATTTTGGTCTTTGGTTAAAAAAAAAGTTATTCAAACTTATAGGATCTTTTATTTATTTTCTGGTTTTTCAATTTTGTTATCTATAATATAAACAGAACCATACAAAAAACCGAGACAATCAAACTGATCCGAAATAACAATCATGTGATTCCGAGAGAATAACTGGATTTTGGATTGGATTTTGGTTTGGGTCTTAGGTCGATGATGAATGTGGAAGAATTCTAGTATAACTGTTATATATATAAACAAAAAAAAAATTCAGACAGACACAAATGAAAATCTTATAAAATTTTAAATATATTTGAATCCCTTAATAATTGAAAAGCATTACAACATATTTTAATAGTCACATGTCATTATGAGAATATTTCTCAAATTTACTGTAAATATTAAAGCTCTCACATCAAAAATGGTGTTATTAATATTTTAAAAATTTTATTATAAAAATATACATGATCATAAAACAATGTAAGTGTGAGGCTTCATTTATTAGATTTTCAAATTAAAAGTATAATATATATATATATATTAATATCATTTATTAATTAAATTTATTTATATAAAGTGATTATAAATAAATAAATATGATTATTTTATTTAAATGCTCGCTAAATTAATTGTATATATAATAGTTACTAATTTTCCAATTATTTGATATATATAATTTTATTTTATAATATATAAAAGAATACAAAATAAAAAATAAGATATAAAATAATTTATATATATAATTCTCATACTGCGCAAATGCGCAGATTTTAACTTAGTTGGAAGAATATCAACATAAATAAATAAAACAGGTCAATCAATTTCATCAAAGATGCAAAATAATTAGTTTTATTTTTATAAGAGTCGGCTTGAAGACAACGCATCAAATTTTCACTTTTGGGGAAGGTGATATTAGATTCACAATCACTGTGAACAACAGAAAAACATCAGAATCAAAATTCAACTATAAAAAAAAAAATCCATCCAACAATAAAGCCGCGAGAAGACACTAGAAAGCGCTGTGAGGAACGTAACAGTCACAGAACGTTCACAATCCCAACGGTAATCTGCAAAAGGCGAAGGAGAGGTGGCTGCTTCCAATCTCATGAAGATTCTCTCCTTCTGGTGCTTCTCGTTGCTCTTCACGGCAGCGATAGCGACTGAAACAGCACAAGATTCTCCGATCACTCGTATCGCTTTCGGATCATGCGCTAACCAAAGCGCTCCACAGGTAATCCCAATCACCCCCGTTTCGTCAATCTGTATTTCGAATTTTTGACACGTGTGTGTGATCCAACATAGCCGATTTGGGAAGCGATAAACAAGTACGATCCACAAGTATTCATATGGTTGGGTGATAACATCTACGGAGACATCAGAAAACCAAACAGATTAATCGGGAAAGAGAGAACAATTGGGCCATGGAGAAACTCCCCCAGGTTTGTGCCTTCTTCAGAGGCCGAGATGAAGGTGAGATACGCTAAAGCCAAGGCTAATCCTGGCTACTCTCGTCTCCAGAGGAAAGCTAGAGTGATTGGCACTTGGGATGACCATGATTACGGTTTGAATGACGCTGGTAAAGAGTTTGATCGTAAAGTCGTTAACCAGAGACTCATGCTTGATTTCTTGGATGAGCCTCTTGATAGCCCAAGGAGAAAGCAAGCTGGTGTTTATGCTTCTTATATGTTTGGTCCATCTAACCGGAAAGTCAAGGTAAAAATACTCACCAGTGGCCGGTCTTGGGCAAAGCCGAATGAAATATTCACCTAAAACACTCGGGCCGGTTCTGGACAAAGCCGAATGAAATGAAACATTCGTCTAAAACACTCGGACCGGTCCTGGACAAAGCCGAATAAAACATTTGCCTATGCCCCCAAAAGTTTTTGAGGAAAATTGCATATATATATATATATATATATAGGCAGCCAAATTTGTAAAAAGTTTTCTTTTTGTTGTTGAAATCATTACTAAATTGTCCTTACTAAATCATGTGGTTTAATTCGATGCAAAGCTAAGAACCTTAGTCTACGGTCTCTAAAATCTCATGGCCGGCTCATAACTCTCACATATTGTTCTTTTTTTGAATGGAGATTTTCTTAATGTGATTCGGTATCTTCAGGTTATAGTTTTAGATACTAGATATCATAGAGACCCTTTGCGAAGTGATGGGAGTATCTTGGGTGATACTCAGTGGGGATGGCTCGAAAATGAGTTGAGAGGTCCACACACTGAGATTACTATCATAGCGTCCTCTGTTCAGGTACTCTGCAGCTTCCAACACCAGTTAAACTCAGTCAAGCTTGATGAAGCTTTAGTGTCTTATTCCATCCACTAAACTTGACTTGTGTAGGTAATATCAAATCTTTCGGCTACCACTGGACCACTCTTTTATATGGAATCATGGGGCCGTTTTCCAAAGGAAAGGAAACGTCTTTTCCAACTTATACAAGATACCAAGAGAAATGGAGTTATATTCATCAGTGGAGATGTTCATTTCGGAGAGATCACGAGATACGATTGTGCTGTTGGTTACCCTTTATATGATGTCACATCAAGTGGTCTTGTACAGTCTGTTGAGAAAGTTTTCCCTCGTCCCTTGCGTTTCCTCGTTAGGCTTATGTTTTGGTATACACCAAACACGATGAGAGTTATCAATGATAACTGCAGATATAGATCCTGCACATACGGTATATTGGATTCCTCTTATGATTGTTAAACTGTGGATGTTTAGTGTTTTACATTACTATCCATATATTTTGGTTGATTGTCTCTGGTTTTAGTGAATTTAGCGTTCTCATAGCTTTGGTATTCTCAGTTTCCATAATCTATCAGAGCAGCAATGATGCTTGACGAATTACTGGCAGGGCAACAAAATTTTGGAGCAATATCGATAGATTGGAATGCAAATCCGGCAGCAGTAAGGCTCGAGATCAGAGATGTTAATGGAGTCACAGCACTAAGCACAAATGTCTCACTATCCGAACTCCAACCGCGAGGCTCAAAGTCATTGACAGATCCAAATAAGAAGGGAAAGTCCCAACGACATTGCACCCTTGAAGCTGAGTTGCCAGGAATAACCAGATACAGATTGGCAGTTCTCGTCTACTTCATCATTGCTGGTATGTTACTACTCTTCCCTATTACTAATTTTAGTCGGTTGATCCAGAGAATGTTGCAGAGTATTGATGTTTTATATGTTGTGGACAGTCTTGGTAATGGCGTTAGTTGGATTGATCATTGGAGTTGTGTTGACCATAACAGCATGCGTTTATAAATGCAAGGTCGACTGATTCTTGAATTTTGTTCCGGTAAATGGCTTTGCGTTTTTTCATAACCTTTTCATTACACAACTAAATGTTTACATTCTTATTACTTCAATTGGTATTAGCTTAGTCTATTTCGTGATTACTTAAGTGTAGTGGGATGCTATGTGAAGACATAGCTTTTGATATTGGGATGGGAATTCAAAGCTTGAGGCTGCTTTTGTTACGTGTATTTTTTGGGTTTAAGAGTAAAACGGTACTTGAACTAACATGATAATAAATAAGCTGAAATTTAAATGAAATACCAAGTGTGTAATATCTTAACATTCATACCAAAAAAAACTAACATGACAGTGAAAAAGCTGAAGGTTAAAGAACATGGCAAATGGAAAACTAAATTTAGCATGTGAAGCAAAATGGATATAATACATTTAAAAGACGGGGAGAAGAAACGCCAATTGTTGTGCTGATGTCCTTCTCTTCTCTCTCTCTCGAATAAGAAGGTGATTTCCGTTTCATCGGAATTTTCTTCCAGTGACAAACGTTAAAATATTCTCGATCTCGTTTTCTCTTCTCATATGATCGTTTAGTTACTGAGGTTTAGTGTCTTTTATTTTTTTGCTTTAAAATAGTAACTCTAGATTTTATTATTGTAGCAGTAGATTTTCTAATAATAATTTTCACAGCACTAAATATAAGCTTTAGAAAAACTGATTTTTAAGTCATTTTGTTCCTATTTTAATTTTGAGGCTGTAATTTTAAATAATTTTTTAAAGCATGATTGTTAAAATAAAGTGGCTATAGAAAGAAAATGAACTGTAAAAAGCACTCATAGCACTTACCAATCACCTTCATAAGCTTAAAATGTATTTTGTGACTATGATTTGTAAATTTTCTTTTTGGACTTTATAACAAAAAATTGCCATTAAAAAAGACATTTAAAAGATGGATGCATGTACATATATAAATTAAATATAAAATATATATTATCAAACTTTAATTTTTATTTATTTTTATTATTAAAATTTTGAATATTTAATTTAATTTATTATATATTATATATTATATATTTTTATAAAAAGATTTCATATATTATTTTTGATCATCCTATTGTTGATGTACTGTAAATTATTGAATATTTTATAAAGTTGTGTATTGATAATTATAGTAAATTAGTTATATATGTTGTTTCATTTTAAAAAGTTAATTAAGTTTATTAGGTTATTATACAAAGATTTTTATTTTCAAACAAACTAAGTGATCAACCCAATTTAAATATTAAAAAATACCTAGATGAAGAAACATATAGTTTATTTTTTATTCTACAGATCACAATCAATAATCCATGTGTTCTTTTAAAATCTTAAAACCCAGACATGGCAGAAGAAACACAAAGAGATATTGAATGACCCATAATGGAATTAGAAATGAGAAGAGAGATTTATAAATTTTCTCCACAAGTACATCTAAACTATTAAAAGGGGAGTAAAAATTTGAAATATCCCTTATTTTTTCTAAAGAATTTTTATTTCATGCCATTACATTAATATTAACTATTTAATTTTTTATTTAAACTAATTACTAACTACATTCCTATAATAAAACACATAAATCCCGCAAAGCGCAAAATTAAAACAATAACAAAAATTATAAAGCTCAAAACCTAAAGACAATGAACAATACACCAATATGTCAAAATTAAATAATACTTGTATCTAAAACATAAACATAAACAATTAAGCTAATGGTATTCACAATGGTTAAAAACATATTATCTATTCTATTAAAATTGAAGTACAAAATAATTTTTTTATTTTTTAAAAGGATTTATTACAGCTTATATTCCTTTTTACTTTATTTTAACAATTTCATTAATTGTATTTACTACACAATTTGATAGCATTAATTTAAAATATTCATCATCTATCTTATTATAACCAAACACCAGCTCGAATGTACAATAAAACAAAAAAAATTACTAAAAAATAATCAATACATAAGTAAAACATAAGAAAATTTTGAGCAAAAATAAAAATAAAATTATGAAAAAATAATAATTCAGTTTTTCCTTTTAAGATACATATAATTTATACATAAGCTTATTTATGCAAATGGTTGACTTGTTATAACTTATCCCAAATTTTGTTACTATCTGAACTGCGATATTTATTAATGAACAATCATGAATTCAATCTAACCCTTAATGATCAAGCATTCATCCTAACCCTTAGCGAGCAAATTCATCCTTTTAGTGACCAAAACCCCCAACTAAAAGCTTGTACCTGAATGAGGTAAGCACTAAACCTCAGTAACTATCATGTCTAGAATTACTGTCTTGATTTTTGAGTTGGAAAATGAGCTTAACTTTGATACTGTATGGTATCACACTGAGAATTCGGAGAATCTAGCAGAAACTATTTGTCCCTCGACTCATATCAACATGAACCATAGAGCTACACTTTGGCATTGGTCTCTGAAGCAAATTACTGGACATGGAAACCGTACACATAAACTGCAACTCTGTCAACCCTATAGGAACGATACTAGCAATCTGATTGCCCATTATCTCGAAAATTCTCAAAGCTGTAAGGTTGTTTAGCTCTGGAGGTAGACTTCCAGAAATTCCTCTGTCAGAGAATCTTATGCTTGTGACGCGACTATTCTTGTCACAATCCAGTTCTGTCCAAGTACAGTAGTCCGAACTACCCCGATCAATATCATTAGTACAATTAATAGTTAACCCTAACTTTTTCTAAATATTTACAAGGGATTGCCACTATATAAACCATTATTAAAATTATTACCAAAACCAGAATTCATTTAAGGGCTTATTGGTGAGATAACCAATTTTGAGTGACAAATTAGGAAAGTAACACTGAGTTTGAAATAATTTAGTGTCAGTTTTTTTGGTCTCCTTTAAGCAGGTTCTGCCCCTTAATGTAATGGGTTACAAGTCAGAATGTCAAAAACAAGAGAAATGGTTGTTTTAGTGGCACATAAATAATCAAAGCACGTATGACAGCTGTAAACAACAAATATGAGTGTGTATGAAATGAAACAGAAATGTCTAGGAACATGTAAATTTCTTTTCTATTCTACATACCAAATATGACATAGAAATTGTGACATGACATACATAAATACGATAACACTCTAACACCTTTCGCAGATGAGTATAGGGCTTATTTGTGTAATAGCAATTAGAATTGTACCATCTGATATAATATAGAATTTAAATATGTGGAACATAACATATGGTCAGACGGAATGGAAAGCGAATAGTATATTATTTCTGATACGATTCTTCATAAATAGCCATATTTGGAATGGCACGTAACCAGTCTCTAAAACTAAGTTTTTCCATTTCAAATAGCACAAGTGCTTTTCCATTTCAAATAGCACATGTTCAAATACCCTAGTCGGAATGAAGACCATAATACAAGTGACCGTACATAATTGCTTAGAAAGAAAGAATACTATTGTTTAACTTTGTTTCATTATAAATTACAAATGTTTTCAAATCTGAAACAAAGTTTAATACATAAGAAATTTAAAAACTACAGAGAATGTAATGCACAAACATTACATGTAATGCATGACACACTTTTTCAACAAGTTCCCAAATTGCTAAGAATTCAACATCGCCAAATGATCGTCATCTAATGTGGTTTTGATCAGCTCGATCCACCGTAGGTTCAAATAATTATTAACATGTTTCCTACCCGTCGGCTCAAATCCTGTTTCAAATAATTTTATTAGAAAGCTTAATTCATCCATGATAACCTGATAAAAAGGTGGATGACAAAGTAGAAATGTTGCTACAATAGCATAGGAAAAGTTTAAACTATTCTATCTTCCCTACATGATTCCATACTATATATTCTCCTATATCTTTTTTAAGCATATGTTTTCACTGTAAGCAGTAAATGTGTGGATACAATACATTCAGTGGACATAGTATGGCCTGCAAATATTAAATCCTACCTAACAGAATAAATACTAGAACCCAAGAAAAACCCGTAATTACTAAATCTAAATCATAATCACTGATCTATAAACCCAAACATAATCTATATAATATGCTGCAAATATCTCGTAATGTACTATAGATAGTATGTAACATTTATAAATAGTATATCATGAACAATTTACTCCATTTCTATTAGCTCTTATTATGCTTAAATACTAAAACCCAAAAAATCATACTTACTAAATCTAAACCATAATCACTGATCTATAAACCCAGGTAGAATCTATTTAATATGATGCAAATTTGTACTACATATAGTATGGAACATCTATTAATAGAATAGAAGAGTCATTTTACTCCATTTTAGTTCTTAAAATTCTTAAATACTAAAACGCAAGACAAGCTTGTTAGTAATAAATCTAAACCCTAATCACTGATCTATAAACCCAAACATAATCTATATAATATGCTGTAAATATCTCCTACTTACTATAATTAGTATGGAACATTTATAAAAAATATAGCAGGAACAATTTACTCTATTTCTATTAGCTCTTATTGTGCTTAAATACTAAAACCCCAAAAAACTACTTACTAAATCTAAACCCTAATCACTGATCTATAAACCCAAATAGAATTTATATAATATGATGCAAATTTCTCATTATGTACTAGATATAGTATGGAACATCTACAAATAGAATAGAAGAGTCATTTTACCCCATTTTAGTTCTTAAAATGCTTAAATACTAGGACGCAAGAAAACTTGTTATTACTGAATCTAAACCCTAATCACTGATCTGTAAACCTAAACATAATCTATATAATATACTGCATATATCTCGTAATGTACTATACATAATATGGAATATTTATAAATATTATAGTAGGAAAATTTTACTCTATTTCTATTAGCTCTTATTATGCTTAAATACTAAAACTAAAAAAATCTGCTTACTAAATCTAAACCCTAATCACTGATCTATAAACCCAATATGATGCAAATTTCTCATTATGTACTAGATATAGTATGGAACATCTATAAATAGAATAGAAGAGTCATTTGACCCCATTTTAGTTCTTAAAATGCTTAAATACTAAGACACAAGAAAACTTGTTATTACTAAATCTAAACCCTAATCAAACGTAAACACAATCTATATAATATACTGCAAATATCTCGTAATG